ACCCCCCCCCCCCCCCCCCCCCCCTGTCGGCCTGTGCCCGACGATGATCACCGACATGGGCCCTGGTATCGAACTACCCTGGTTCTGTGTTTTTTTTTTTTTTGCGCTCGCCACGGCGCGTCCGGGCACCTGTTCTTACCAAGAGGAAGTAAAGCTTATCAGCCCATCAACCCAGGAGAGAAAGTCGGGCTTTTTTTGGGGGGCTTGGCTGGCTGGCTGGAGCTGCGCCGTACCCTGCACTACCAGATGGCCTCCCCCCACGTGTGATGCAACTTTATGAGCTTATGAGACTATTGCCCTTTGTAATTTTGGCGAAACGCTCATTGCTTTTTTCCGCTGCTCTCTATCAGGCATCTGGCCCCCTTCTTGGCCTCCGTTTTGGGGGTCGCCGTGATGGGATGAGGTTCCGAATGCAAGACGTACCTGCGTTAGTTTGCATTCCAGAGAACGGTGCGCCCCAAACGGCGACCGACGCACGCATGCAGTAGGGTAGTTAGCTCCCGCACGCAAGTCTGCATTCCAAGGCCAAAGGATGGGCAAAGTGTAGTTTTTTTTTTTTTTTACGACAGCACCAATGTGCGGAGGAAGGCCGTAAAACCTGGGCAGGTATGCACCATGTGTAGTTATGCCAAAACGGGGGGGGGATCCGGCCTTGTTGGGCAGGGGGATGTACGTTTGAGCTGAAGAACAGAATGAGGCTTTCCGTTTCGGCGTGAGCGATTCCTACCAACTACCTAGGTACCTAGGCATTGGGGGGAATAATCAAAAACTCGCATCCTACGGTCAGCGCTGACCTGAGCTGCTGTTGCTGGCGGGCGCCACCAACCGGGGTTGCCCCGAGTCTATTTGCTCGTACTTGACGGGAAGAGTTAATCCCAACAAGCGTAGGAATAGATTCCCCGAGCGAGATATTTGGCGAAGTGAGAGCGAGGCACCGCGGCCGCCTGGTAGTCATAGCGCCTCTCCACCCGAACGCCTCTCAATTTGCTCATGCGCGGCCGAAAAGAGAGAGACAGAGAGAGAGGGGGGGGGGGGGAAAAGGATGACCGAATCAAGTGACTGCATTACGAGCTTTGAGGCGTAACCAGGTCACCGGCTCCGGTCACCGTCCTGGGAACAAGCAAGTCCAGGGTTGGCTTTGGCAACTGCCGTCGTGATCGAATTGGCTGATGACGAGATGCTCGACAGTGGCGCAATCAAGCCCGTGAAATGTCGCCAGATTCTTGCCTTTGCGCAATACGTATTTTTGCACAACAAAACCACAGAACAGCGAAAACGACTCGCGATGGATGATGCGCTGGGCCCGGCATAGTTTCAATCCCACACGATGCAATATCGCAACGTTACGGTAAGGTCCTTCATCATGTCTCAATTTCTAGCAAATTCGGCCGAAGTGAGACGGGTGCCTCGTATAGCTGTGGCGTAGGTAGGTCGCATCTCTGAGTTGTCAGGTAGGCTATATATCGTGATGCACCATTTTCCATACAATACATCTCTGATCGGCCTGGCACATGACCGCCAGCATCGTTAATCTTTTTTTTTCTTGCTTCTCGCCGTCAGCCAACCTCAATCTATCTATCTGCAACCTCTTTGCAGTCGGGTCGAATCATCTTTCGTGCATCGATATTGAAGGGACCGTCGTCTGTCTTTGCTGACAGGTGTGCGGACCCGACCGCGACCTTGTCTTGGGACAATGAGACACCAGCGGTCCTAGTCGAGCCCACCCGCCCTGATGGGCTTGTCCCGTAGACACGGTTTGCCAGCTTAGAAGTGTACGTGGCCGATGTAACCAAAACTTTAGAGTTCGCCTGGTCCATCAGTCTCCCGCACTTGGCTCGCGGGAACTAGATGACCGGTCTCACCGCCGTCGATGGAGATCCTCCAATCACGACGACGGCAATGACGGATGATGATGGCCGTGAAGGTGAGGGGTAAGTAGAGAGGGCATATTCCTCGCCGACCTCTACGTGACGACAGCCGTGGTCTGTGCCTGCCCCTTGATCACCGCAGAGCAGAGCTCGGAGGAGTATCGACTCTCACGATGACTTGTTTGCGAGCCTGGGGCGTCATCCTCGGCAACTAGCCTCCGTGACGGCCCAGCTCGCTCTCGTCCATATGGGCCCGCGCCGAGCGGATAAGCCCCTTCGCCTCCTCGACCTCGACGCCGTCCTGGCACAGCTCCTGCGCGAGGCGATGCGCGAGGGCGTAGTCCTCGACGTCCATCGCGTGCTTGGCAAGCCACATGCGCGCCTTGCTCGTCGCCGCCGTGACGCCCGTCCCTTCGTTGCCGCCACCGCCCGCCTCGTCGCCGTCGTCGGACACGGCACCGCCCTGCGAGTCGTTGTGTATGGCGATCGAGTCGCCAAAGCCGCCGCCGCTGTCCCCGCCGTCCTCCTGCGCCACGCAGAGCTCCATGTACGCCTTGGCCTCCTCGATGTCTCCGAGGTTATGAAACATGTTGGCGATCTGCAGGAGCACTTCTGGGTCCATGTGCCCGATACCGCGCGCCGAGCCCACGCCACTTCCGAAACTGCTGGCGGTAGAGTCGTAGTAGCTGTCGGCAAGCAGCGCCCGCTTCAGCGCCTTGATGCCGTCCTTCTCGCGGCCCATCTTCTGTAGGCAAGAGCCGACAGCCATCCACATCTTGCCGTCCCAAGGCCGCAGTCCAGCCGCCTTCTTGTAGTACCATAATGCGTACGTGTGCATCTCTAGTACCTCGTACGTCTGCCCCAGACCGTACCAGGCACGATAGTCGCGCCTATTGACATCGACGGCTCTTCTGTACGACTCGATGGCGGCATGGGTGTTCTTCAGCTCGACATACTCGTGGCCCATGAGCGTCCATGCTGACAGACACGAGCGGTCCAGGGTCAGAGCACGCCGGAAGTACTGCACGGCCTTCTCATGTGCGGAACATAGTGAATAGTAGTTACCGATAACAACGCACGACTCGGGCCGGAACTTGTCGACGCTGGCGCACAGATGTGCCAGGAAGGCGAGCTTCGGCCGCAGGTTCAAGACGTAGAGTATGTTGGAATAATGATCCAAGGAGTCTAGGCGGTGAGGATGAAGAGATAACAATTGGCTAAAGTGCTGCTCTGCGGCCATGAGATCCTTGTTATGATATGCGAGCAGAGCATTGCATGTGAGGAGGAACGAGGAAGTGGGGAAGATCGCCAGAAGCTGATCTAATGAGTTGGCGAGGTTGGGTCCTTGTTGGTAGAGTTCGAGGGAGGTGTGAAGATGGAAGACGAAGGACACGATGTTTTGTGGGAGGTGAGGTGCGATGCGGTTAAGCTGTTGGGTATCAGCGGGAGGCACGGCATGGCATCATGGGGTTTGATCAGGGCGGGACTTACATCCTCAATCCTGGTTATGAGAGATGTCATCTCCTGCCAGCAGCCCCAGTTCATGGGAAACAGATGGACGCTTCGAATGAGCCATTCCATCGCTTCTGTCTCGTTTTTCTCTTTGGCGAGGACCATGCCGTAGCTACCACGAAGTCAGTATTGGCATCGCGAGCTAGGGAATCGCCAACTCACAGATACTCGAGCCAGCCCTGACTGCCGACAGCCTCGCCATCCTCGTTGGTGACTTGGGCAAACCATTGCTGCAGATACGAGCTGACCATGCGCAATTGCCTGTTGGTAGCCGTCCCCAGGTCATGGGGTCCCATCACCATCTCCGCGTCCTCGTCCTTCCTCTTCTCACCCGAGATGACTTTGGCATAGAGGGCCAGAAACAGACTCTTTTGGCTGATCTCGGGCAGCTCAGTCTTTCTCTGTTGATCTACCATCGTAGGAAAGGAGTGTGTCTCCTTCTCGGAGGGGCCAACAGCCTCGTCGGACTGTGTCGAGATGATGCCAGCCAAGAGCGAATCTGGGAGGAAAACAGCGGCGCATCGGTCATATTCGCGGCAGTCGAAGAGAGACTTTGCCAGGAGGTATTTGTTGACTTCCGCAGCCTCGAGGGCGGCCTCGACTGGGTCGGGATTGCGAGTGAACAGTGATGGCGTGGGCTGCCCGGGCGCATTACTCTGCCCTTCGTTACCGGAGGCCGACTCTGGGATCGCATTGAGGAGCTCGGCGGCCCTTGATCGACGAAGTTAGGTATAGACCCATGAGATCAGAGTATGGAAACTGACCACTTGGCTGCTTGATATAAGCATCTCTCAGAGCATTTGACTACAGCATCCTGCAATGCAGACCGCAGCTGCACTGTCTCCTGTTTTGTCAGCACCATGTTGCTGTATGGATCTCGATGGAGTTGTTGTTGTTCAGCAGATCGGGTGTAACTCCTCGCCAGACAGAAGAGGGTCGTCAAAAGTTGATCATGGAATGCGAAAACTGGAAAGGCAATTGAATTATCGTAGATGGATCATCACAGGCATGTCGACCTCGTTTGCACGTTATATCATGACGTCGCCGCCCTGGACTCGTTGGCAGTTTTGAAGCGCGCAGCGCGTCTTGAAGCATTGCTGGAGCTCTTGCGATAAGATAACGAAACATGTGGCAGGCTGGCAGCCACGAAAGAGAAACACAACCCCACCTGCACTCACTACTCCGTACTGAGTTACTGAGTTACAGGCCACTCACCGCCTCTGCCAGGCCAGGAACGGCAGCCCAGACGCAAGCGTGGCCCGCTTATTACAGGGGACTTCCGAACTGTGAAGCAGTTCATCCCGCTACTGCCCGGAGTCTACCCCGCCAAATTCGACCTCGAGATTAAATTTCCAAGAATCGCCCTCCGTTCTCCGTTGAGCAACACACGAAACCCGGGCCTCCCCGACTTTGCTTTTCTATATACCCGGCCCTCTTTGAGGTTCAATTGGAGTCTTTCACGTAGCAAGGGTGCCTTCAGACCACAGTAGACATCATGTCGCAACGAACCACCCTCAAGGAATTCGAGGCCGTCTTCCCCAAGCTGGAGGAGGTCCTGCTGGCGCATGCCAAGCAGTTCAACCTCCCTGAGGAATACCTGAGGTGGTACCAGAAGGTAGACAGTCCCGGGCGTCGGCTTACAGATCTGTTTTGCTAATCTGTATGTGTCTGGCAGAGTCTCGAGGTCAACACGCTCGGCGGCAAGTGCAACCGGGGCATGTCCGTCCCGGACTCGGTCTCGGCGCTCCTCGGCAAGCCCCTGTCCGAAGACGAGTACTTCCATGCCGCGACCCTGGGGTGGATGACGGAGCTGCTGCAGGCCTTCTTCCTCGTCTCGGACGACATCATGGACAGCAGCATCACGCGCCGCGGCAAGCCCTGCTGGTACCGCCACGAGGGCGTCGGCATGGTCGCCATCAACGACGCCTTCATGCTCGAGTCGGCCATCTACACGCTGCTCAAGAAGTACTTCCGCTCCCACCCGGCCTACATCGACTTTGTTGAGCTCTTCCACGACGTCACCTACCAGACCGAGCTCGGCCAGCTGTGCGACCTGCTGACCGCCCCCGAGGACAAGGTCAACCTCGACAACTTCAGCATGGACAAGTACCGCTTCATCGTCATCTACAAGACGGCCTACTATTCCTTCTACCTGCCCGTCGCCCTCGCCCTGCACCAGCTCAACATCGGCACCCCGGAGAACCTCAAGGTCGCCGAGGACATCCTCATCCCCATGGGCGAGTACTTCCAGATCCAGGACGACTACCTCGACAACTTTGGCCTGCCCGAGCACATTGGCAAGATCGGCACCGACATCATGGACAACAAGTGCTCTTGGCTCGTCAACCAGGCCCTGCAGATCGCCACCCCGGAGCAGCGCAAGGTCCTCGAGGACAACTACGGCCGCAAGGACAAGGACAAGGAGGCCGTCATCAAGAAGCTGTTTGACGACATGAAGCTCGAGCAGCGCTACAAGGAGTACGAGGAGAAGGTCGTCGGCGAGCTGCGCGAGAAGATTGCCAAGATCGACGAGAGCAAGGGTCTCAAGAAGGAGGTCTTTGAGACCTTCCTGGCCAAGATCTACAAGCGCAGCAAGTAAAGAGAGGCTATGGGGCGGAAATATATGGAATAATTAAGACGAGGGTCAAAACGATAAGTACGACAGGCAGAGAAGACGATGTGGTGGTAATGCGCGTATGACACCCCTGGAAGGTAAAAGAGCCGAATGGTAAAGAGCTACGATTGAGACTCGTAACGTTACTGAGATAGACAAAATGGGATATTATTGTCTGGATGACCCTGAACTCCTGAAAAACGGCAACACACGAGAAGACAGATTCGTACCAATACAGAATATCCTCAACTCCTGTAAGCCAAACACACAGCCCAATAAGCAAACGCACCCTATTTCCCTTGTAGATACCAACCCCCAAAAAAGATCTACGGACCTACTTCCCAGCTTTCAGCCTTAACTTCATTAAACGATAGACCCAAACACCATCCCGTCCCATTCCTCATTCAAACACCCTCCTCGAAGTCCCGCTCCTCGACCGCGGCACCTCCCTCGGCCGCGGGTCCCGCCCCCGCTGCTGATGCGGATGCTGATGCGGATGCTGCTGATACTTGTGGTGCATAGCCGGCTCCGACACCTTGCGCATCGCGCTCCCCCCGCCGCCGGACCGCAGGCTGCCGAGGTCGCTGCCCTCGCGCGACCCCATCGACCGCTGCGACGCGACGCTCGGCAGCGCCGGGACGGGCGGGTAGTACTGCCCGATGCTGTTCCACGACGTCTGGCTCGCGAGCGTCGCGGCCGACGCCCGGCTGCGCAATGTCCCTCCTCCTCCTCCTCCCCCTGCGCGGGACCCGTCGCTCGTGTGCGGCCGACCGGCCCCTCCCGGTCCCGATCCCGCTGCTGCCGCGGCGGCGCGGGCCGCGCTGCGCGGCGGGGGCACGTCCAGGAAGGAGCGCGAGGACGACGACGGGCTCGTGGCCAGGTCGACGAGGTGCGCCGTGCCGGCGGGCGGGCGGACGCCGTGGCCCCCGCCGCCGCCGTTGCTGGTCGACGGCCTGCCGTGCGGGGGCAGGGCGGCGAAGTTGAGGAGCGGCACCGGGGGCGCCGCCGCCGCCGCCCCCGCGGGGGTGTGGTGCTTGGACGAGGCGGAGCCGGCGCGCGAGCGTCCCGCGCGGGCCTTGTCGAAGGAGGAGGAGGGGATGCCGGAGGAGGTGGAGGGGCGGGCTGCTGCTGCTGCGGCGGCGGCGGCGGCGGCGGCGGCGGCGGCGGCCTCGGCGTCGCGCTGGCGCTGGAGGCGGGCTGTGTGCTCTACGGCCGAGGGGAGCCAGGAGGAGGGTTCGGAGGGGGAGGCTGGGGTCTCGGGAGGGGTGGACCTGTTCTTTTTCTTGTTTTCGCCATCGTCGGAGGCCGTGATGGCGGCGGCGGCGGCGGTGGTGGTGACGACGGACTTGGTGGAGAGCAGGGAGCCCTCGGTGAAGGGGTTGTCCAGGTCGATGGCCAGGGAGGAGATGTGCGGCCTGGACAGCCCGGGAGAGAGCTTCCTGCGGTCGTCGTAGCTGTCGCCGAGCAGGCCGCCCGCCGCGAAGGTAGGAGGGGGCTCGGTGTCGCCGCCCGAGCCGCCGCCCTTGGGGGTGGTGAGCATGAGACCGGCGGCGGCGGACTTGGGCCCGCCGAACAGGCTCGCGGGCAGGGTGCCCGAGCGCCGGCGCGTCGCGCCGCTGCTGGCCAGCTCGAACTCCCTGGCCATGTCGCCGACGGCCGACACGCCGCCGAACTCGGGCAGGGGCTCGAAGCCGCCGACGCGCGAGGGCGAGTCGTCGAGCGTGAAGCGCGGCTTGGGCGGCGGGGGCTGCGGCCTGGCGCTGGGCGTGCGGATCAGGTTCAGGACCTTCTTGGAGTGGTAGCGGATGGGCGTCACGGGCGCCGTGACGGGGCCGGCATTGCCGTCGTCGTCGTCGTACTCCCCCTCCTCCCCGGGCGGGTCCGGCGGCAGCATCTTCTTGAGCGCCGCCGCCGACTCCGCCGCCGCCGCGGTGGTCTTCTTGGGGAAGGTCGGGCTGACCTCGACGCGGCCCGGCAGGCCCTCGAGCTTGCCGACGACGTACCAGCTGCGCCAGCCGTGCACGAGCGCGTGGAAGCGGTGCGCCGTGGCCGGGTCCTCGGTGCAAAAGTAGTGCACGTAGGCGCCGCTGCCGGGCCCGCCGTCCCCGGCGGCGGCCTTGGCGTCGGCGCGGCTCCGCTGGCTGCGGATGGCGTAGCAGAACTTCTTGGGCGGCTTGAGGTGCTTGCGCACCTGGGCCTCGGTGGGGCTGTAGATGTCGCAGGCCGACAGGTGGCAGATGCCCTGGGCGTCCTTGTCCGTGGGCCGCGTCTGCGACTTCTTGGAGCAGTACATGTGGCCCGTGTCGAGCAGGGTCACGTAGCGCTTGTTCCACTTGCCCGGGCGGTGCGCGTAGTAGAGGTTGATGATGAAGCCGCGCGGCGGCTCGGCCGAGCGCGGCACGGAGCAGAGCTCGAGGTCGCGGTCGCCGGCGAAGGCGTCGGTGGGCAGGACGCGGAACGAGTTGTGCGGCGCGTCGGCGGCGTCCCACGAGTCGAGGATGTCGCGCACGCGCTCGTAGCGGCGCAGCCGGCGCTCGAGGCCCAGGCCCGCGCAGACCTCGATGGCGATGCTCGTGTCGGTGTGGATGGGGTGCGCGAGCGAGGAGGAGCAGGTCACGAGGAGGTCGGCGGCCGTGGCCGTCGCCTTGACGGGCAGGTCCATGGACATCTGGCGGCAGCGGATGCGCACGAGCTTAAATGATTGCAAAACAAGAGTGTTAGCCAACAAGCTGCGTTGTTGTTTTATCATAACAAAGGGGGCGAGGAGAAAGAAAGACATACCCTTTCGCCAGGCTTGCACGTAGGCCTGGCCGCGACATAGTCCTTGGGGGACGACCCGGGCTCCAGGCTCTCGGCCCTGGTGCCGTAGACGGGCGACGCCATGGGCGACGCGACCGAGACGGGCGAGGACATGGCGCCGTGGTGGCCGCCGTGGTTGGAGCGCCGGCCGATCTTGAGGAAGGCGAACTTCTCGAGCACGGGGCTCCGGGGCTTGGAGCGGGCCGAGACGGGCGACTGCAGGGACAGCTGCAGCTGCAGGCGCGCGAGGTCGCGCTTCTTCTGCTCGGCCAGGATGCGGTCCGTCTCGGCCTCGAGCCGCGCGACCTCGTCGGCCCAGCGCGCCGCCTCCTTGCGGTCCTGCTGCTTCTGGATCTCGTGCTGCGTGATCGACAGCGGCGCGGGCGCGGGCGCCCTGGCGGCCTTGTTGGGGGCCAGGGGCGCAGGCCTCAGGGGCGCGGGCGTCACGATCTCGTCGCCGTCGTCGGGCGACAGGTCCTGCGAGGAGGCGTCGCCGCCGTCGCCGTCGTCCGCGTCCGCGTCGCCGAACTCGGACTCGACGGGCGTGGTGACGACGGCCACGTCGGCCGTGATGGCCGTGGCGACGGGCGCCGGGGGCGGCGCCGAGGTAGGCGGCGCCGGGAAGCGGTTCTCGATGCTCACCAGGGTGTCGGTGGTGTAGACCGAGGCCGTGTCGGCGCGGCTGGACAGCTTGGACCCGTAGCTGGGCTTGGAGGGGATGTTGAGCGGCTTGGGCGCCAGCGGCATGTTGGGCATGGTCGGCGCCGTGACGACCCTGCTGCTGGCGGCATGGTGCTCCTTCTCCGGGCTCACGACGGAGCGCGCGCGCCGCCTGTACCGCGAGCTCGACTTGCTGCGGTGGCCCTCATGGTGGTGGGCGATGGGCGGCAGCGGATGCTCCTCTGCGTCTGCCAGGACGCCGCCGATGAGCTCCCTGTCGTCGGAGACGCTCTTGCCTCGCAGGCTGCGGTATCGCGAGACGCTTTTGCTGGGTGTGATTGGGGGCGCAGCGACCGCGATCCCGTCTCTGGCCGACATGGCTCCCCGGTACGAGGCCGCAGCGATCTGCTGCAGGGACCCCTGGTAAGAAATATCGCGATCTCGGTTGTTCGGGAGGCCTAAGCTCTTCTTAGTGGAGGACCTCCCATGTGTGTAAGTGAGTTTTCGTCAAGTCTTTTTTTTCTTCTCTTTTGCTGCCAGTTCGATCTCTTTCCAGTGTGAATATCTGGTGGAAATCGACAGGAACAGCTTCGATTAGGCAGGGTTGAAAAGCACAATCAACAGAAGACAAGAAGGAAACATGCAATTGCTGCGTGCTTTCTTCTTCCTGGCCATCTTCTGATGCTGCTACTGCTGCTCCTCCTCCTCCTCCACTCCTAGTCTCATTCTCCCATGCCCATTTCCCAAGCCACGCAGACGCACTGTACTGGGCCTGACGCGTCGGGACGCTCCCTTGGTCAAATCTCAGCTCCCCCAATAGCCTGACGGGCTAGAGCAAGAAGGGATAGATGTTCAATTCCAGAGCTTCCATGCGGGCGCGGGCCCAGCGAGATAGCGCGTGCGTGGTATGGGCAGACCAGCCCGGATACGGCAATTCGTGTTATGTCTCTTATTACATTTACATAGTCGCGCGTGACGGCGTGGGTTACCTAGCTCTCTCCCTGCGCGTGCCCACACGACAGCTCCAGTGCATTCCTCAGCGTCCCTTGGTAGGGAAGAAGACTTGCCCTTTGGTGCATTTTCCTTTCCCTTTCCTTTTGCGGTCCGCGCGGATCAGGATCGACTATGCATGGAGAATTCCCTTCCTCCCCCCCTCCAGAAATAGACTCCCTGTGCCACCGACTGGATGTAGTGTCCAATTCCCCCAGATGCTCAGAGAAGAGATTAGGTAGTTAATTTGCTGTAAGCGATGCTGTGGTACGTGGCACCAGAGCCGCGTCTCCTAGTCCAGCCACTTCGAAGCCTTGGTACGACTTGCATGATCACCCTTGTCACTGTCGAAGAGATAATCAGAAAAAGCACCGAGGGATGTACTCGTTCGCCTGGATGTGCAATCAGTAGCTAGAGACCCGACCTGGCTGGTCTTTCTCGAGGATGACGACCAAACATTGGGCCCGTCACAAAAGACTGTCTCATCAAACTGAGCCACCGCCCGTCCGAGTGTTATCCTTCGTACTCGTCATGGTGAGATAGGTGTCTCACCGTGCCTCATCTCAAGTGAGGATTCTAGTGTAACTTTCAATTACCGCTTACAATGTCTTCTCGTACCACAAAATGTCAGGCTTTTGTTGCAATTGACATGTCTACTCTGTACGGAGTTACCTCCGGGCCCTAGTGTCTGAATGCCCTCATCTCGCGTCGCCACCAGCCGACAAAGTCCTGGGTGGACACGTCGATGCCCAAGTCCTTCAGGGCCTTGGTGCTCAGGTGGCAGTCGTACGGCCGTTGCACACTCGCGTTGGGGTCGTTGCCCTCGGCGTTTGCCTCCATGTTGTCGATGTTCAGGCCCATGATCTCGGCGAACAGCTGGCATATCTCGTACTTGGTGTACTTGTCCTCGCTCGAGAACTGCAGCACGCGTGGTAACGAGGTCCGGTCCTGAGACGCTAGGTACTTTACGGCCACGTCTAATCGCGGATTGGCAGGGAAGTCAGTCAAAACGACATGCCTTCCTAACAGGGGCGAGTCTGTCGCTGAGGAATGTGGCAGGTGAAGCAAGGGGGGGAGAGAGCGAGAGAGACAAGACGCACCGTGACATACGCGACCCACATCCTCCGTGTTGGTCGGATACCTCAGGGCCCAGTGGTCCATCTTGACTTTGGCACCGGGACTCTGCGCCTTGGTGACCGAGTCCATGAGCACGTTGACCGCGCTCTCGGCGGGGGACTCTGCTGGGCCGTAGAGGACGGGGACGCGGAGCACGACGCCCAGGCGCTCCTTGCCGGCGCTCTTGAACGCGTCGAGGGTGGCGGCCTCGCCGTCGAGCTTGGTCTGGCCGTAGAGGTTGGTCGGGCCGGTGGCGGCGTCGGCCTGGTATGGGGCGTCCCCCGGCTTGCCGGAGAAGACGTAGTCGGTAGAGATGTAGATGAGCAGGATGTCCCGGGTGGCGCAGAGGCGCGCGAGGGCGCCGGTGGCCTCGACGTTGAGCCTGCGCGTTCCCTCTGGGTCCTTGTCGACCTTGTCAGGGAAGCGATTTGCGGCGCCTGTGCACAGAGGATTAAGAACCGGACAGGACCAAAACACTCATGATGACGACGGGTGCTTTCTCACAGTGAACTACAACGCTGGGCCTGTGTTTGGGGCAGTGTGTCAGCGACGGGAATGTTCAGGTGGCGATGTAACTGTAAACACGTTGAGAGAACGGACCTGGTCTCATCCAGAGCCTTCTCAACATCGGCCGGACTTCCCAGGTCGACTTTGAGGACTGTTGTGCCATTGGCTCGAGAGAAGCCGGTGCCCTTGACAGTCCAGCCGGAAGCTTCGAAGGCCTTGAAGACCTGCCGGCCGAGTAGTCCGGTGGCCCCTGTCACCAATGCAGTCTTTTGTGGCATGGCCGGGTGTTTGTTTGCTGGCTTGTAATTGGTGATGTTGAGACTCAACCAGTTCAGGTGCTTCTTAATGCGGTTGGAAAGCTACCTGCCTAGGTAGGTAGTACCTTAGATAAAGTACTAAGTATGAAGCAGTACTTTGAGGCTGGTGGGAGAGGGCCGATGGCAGGTGTGGGGTTCCAACGGGCCACCCACAGCCCAGGCCGAATTGGAGCTCACTCTTGGCCAAGCTCTTGAATGGCTGGATGAAGACGGATGAGGAAGCAGCTATTTCTGTGAGCGATCAGCATTGACCGCTGTCTTGGCAGTCGATCGACAACGTTATTTGCCATGCAAAGCAATGGACTGCTCCCGAGAGTGGACAACAGCGCCGCATATCCTTTCTCTTTGGCGGCGCATCGGGCCAGGGATGCCAGAGGCACGGAGTGGTCGAGGCCAGTTCGACTACTCCGTACTTCGTAAACCGCTGTCTGAACTATCCTGCAGGTATCTGAAATAAGTGGTGGAAATAGACTTGTCTCAATAGATTCCTTCCGTTCCTGCTGGGGCTCATCCTCCTCTCCAGGACCAAGGCCCTTTGTTGCTCTCCTCAAAGTAACCGTGTTCTCTTGGTCCTGTTGCCGTTTCGGCCCCCCCCCCAGCCTGGTCGATCCACTGCTGTCATCCTTCGCCGTCATCGTTTCGGCCGAACCCCCCTTTCTCTCTCTCTCTCTCTCCCTGCCTGTTTCGTTTCACGACTCTGTCTTGTCTCTACTTCTCACTCTTGATGCTTGATTCTTACGGAGCACGTCTGGGGATGGACTGGTGCTGCTAATATATTTTAGTCCCGTCTCCATCATCATCCAGGCACCCGCCACTATCAACCCTACGGCACTAGGTAACTATAGGTACTCACTCCGTCCTTCCAGCAAGCATTACAGGTACCTACTGCTGCATCCATGCGCCAGCACTAGGTAGACGCCTGCCCTCCCCGCGTCACCACTAGCTTCCAGGTAGTGGAGCACCCTATGGCAGCTCCCGCCCGCTTTCCAAACCGCCCCGTCGACACACCTCCAGCTCCAACCCTCCAGCTCCCGCTCCCTTCCCGGCGGTCGCTGTGGTCCGCTCACCACCATGAGGCTCTCCTTAAGCAAGATGAAGTTCTTCAAGAAGCGCGACAAGAAGAAGGCCGCCTCGGAGAGCGACTTTGCCAGCTACCCGCACCGCCCCAGAGGCTTCAGCAGCGGCTCTCCCCCGCACGGCCAGAGCCAGAGCCAGAGCCAATTCTTAGCTCCCGGCTCGCCGCCACGCTTCCCGACTCGGCGCTCCGCCCAGGCCCTCGCCGCCCTCCCGCCCAACGTCCTCGCCCGCATCTTTGCCTTCGTCTGTCCTCACTCCCAGGACGAGACCTACGAGACCTGCGAGCTCTCCGGCCTCGGCAATGCCTGCATGCTCTGCGACATACGCGACCTCGCCCACTGCGCCTTGACCTGCCGGCGCTGGAGGAAGGAGGCCGTGAAGCAGCTGTACGTGTGTTTGTTTTCTAGCTAAGGAACTCGGTTGCTAACACAATCCGTATCTTGCACAGCTATCACAGCGTCCGAATCGAGACAGTCCACTACTGCGACCGCGAGATCTACTTGTCTGACAAGCGCAAGCGGCGCACCTTCTTCGACCGCAATGGCGAGCCCGAAGACGTGGCCCAGGCGCGTCTCAAGCTGCTATGCCGAACCCTGCGTGAAGATCCAGCCAGGCTCGGCCCGATCGTCGAGTTCTTGAAGACCCCATACATGCTGCGAGAGTCATGCCAGGCCGACCTGGCTCGTACCATCGCCGTCCTGCCCAACCTCCGCTATGTCGACCTGCCCGAGGGTCTCTTCATGGACGAGCCCCCCTTTTTGACACTGCGACTCGAGGTCCAGGCCAGGTGTCACAATCTGAGAAAGATGACCTTTATGGGAGGCGCAGAGCGCAGCTTGGAGGACTTGGCCGGCGGGAGGATCTGGCCGAACCTGGAGGTTCTCGAGTTGGTCAAGGTGAACATGGAGCCGCTCCACCTGCGCCATGTTCTGGGTGCCCTGCGAAACCTGCGAGCGCTCAAGGTGACGGATACAAACGCCTTCGGAGACCAGATATTCATGTACAACGACATGGTCCCCGACTTTCCTCCTCTCGAGGAGCTCGTCTTGAAAAGCGTACCGCATATCACTGCCGAAGGATTCAGAGAGTATCTGCGGCGGGCGGATGCGCGCATGTCGCTCAAGCTCCTCTCCCTGACCGCCACGGGCGTCAAGCCCTGGCATCTGCAGGCCATTCTGGGCCTGGCACCTGCCCTCAGGCACCTCACCATCGTCGAGACGGTGACGGCGGCCCTGCCCATCGCGGCGGGAACCCAGAAGATTGTACCTCTGGCGTCCGGCTCCCTGAGGACCCTCAACTACGAGATCTCGGCCGACTCGTCGAGCAACCCCTACGCCGGCATCACCAGCTCCTACTACACCTACCTCTCGGGCTCGCTCCACTCCGGGGGTCTCCCCAGGCTGCGGTCGGTTTATGTGCGCGACCCAGACTTTCAGAACCTGCTTCTCGGCCTGCCGCCGCCGATGCCGGGCTTCGCGGACGGCGGCTCCCGCCGCCCTGCCTCCAGCGGCTCCTCGTCGTCCTACACCTCGGGCCGCAGCCCCATCAGCCTCGGCCCGGTCGTCTCGGCCAACGGCCTCCTCTCGCCGCACCACTCCCCCGGCTTCGCCCCGCCGCAGCACTACGGCCAGCCGCCGTTCGGCAGCTCTCAGTCCCCGCCCAAGTCGGGCTTCGCGTCCCTGCAGCAGCAGCACCTTTCGCAGCAGCAGCAGAACCCGCGCTTCAGCAGCAACAACCCGTTCGCGTCGATGATCGCCCCCAAGCAGGTGCAGACCCTCGAGGTCTACGTCAAGGGCGACGACGACCTCGACTGGAGCATGGTCATGGTCTCGCCCGACGGCCCGCTGCTGGGCGGCGGCCCGGGGGGAGGAGGAGGAGGCGGTGACGACTCCGGGGGCCGGCCGACGAGCAGCTACGGCCTCGGGGCGGACGTGGCGGTCGGCGCGGGGGCTAGGAGGAGCGTCTTTATGGGGGACGGGTCCGGGTCCTTCCTGGCGGTGCCGGATTTACCGGTCGGCGGCGGCGGCCCGAGGCGCGGGAGCGGCGCTGCGGCGGTGGACGAGTGGCCGAGGCCGAAGAGCTCTGCTGGGGAGAGGAAGAGGGAGAGGATGGATCTGTGGAGGTGATTTGTTTTTTGTTTTTTTTTTGAGACGGGAGATCATAGGAGGTCTCTTGTGCCTGGAGTCAGATTGAGGAGGGGGTTATCGGTTGCTGGCGGACTGAATGCTTTGCGAGATACATGAGGCAAAGGAAGAGCTCGGCGGAGGTTTTGAGTCTCTCGTACTGGAGACTCGAAAGAAGGGAAAGAGAAGGGGGTTCTTTTTTTTTTATTACCCCAATTCTGTCTGACGGGGCTTCATTCAGCTTTGTTGCTTTTCACTCCATGGTTGCGTTGATATATACCCATACCCACCCCCCCTCATACCCAGCAGAGGTCAAAAAGGATGGCGAGGAGTTCGAGGATAATTTGCTCATAGGAAAAATGAAAATGGACTCTAAGTGTGATTGGCATGACTGTTGCTTTGTTGTTTTTGATTTGTCTCGTTGAGCAAAGCGTCGTGAGGACATGGGGGGGGGCATGGCTGCCGTGACTTGCGGCTCTTCTTGGTCTTGGGGAAGTGCCGGAGCTGGTGCAAGATGTACGGATGTGGAAGCTTGGTACTGAGATTCATTGGCGGAATAGGATGCTTTAATCGAGGTCCAGCATATAACAAAAGGGGCCAACTCATGGATATGGGGGCTGCCTGGAATTCAGAAACTCTCAACTCAGAGAGATGTCGAGTGTTCATCACGAAAGTTCAGCTTGTATCTGATAGTCTTAACTCAAGCTGGCAAGCTGAAGTTGTCCCGAATCTCTGTGTTTCATGTTCGATGGTAAGGTATCAAGTACGATCATGCAAACGGGCTTAAAATCTCGTGATGCCAGAGTTTCTTCCAGATAAACCTGGTACGAGATGTGGGCATAATAAATGAGAGAGCCTGAAAGATCTGTAAATAGGTGACATAACTCCTCGTATGTTTATCTTATATGGCTCTCTATGTGATGTCCATATGGTATTCCGGAGGGATTACTTGGTGATATTTTACTAAGTAGTCTTAACCTTGACCGTATAATCTTAATCATCCAATGTATAATCACAGCAACCGGAACCACCATTTCTTGGCTTCTTACTTTGCTAGGTGATACATTAATAAAGTATCGATCTTACGAGAAACAATATATCAAGCATGCCCGTTCGTCCGCAGGGGCATAAAGCCAAAGCAAGTTCATTACCGCCATCTGTTCGAGGTGAACCTCATTGCCATCACTATGCACTTCTGACGATCATAATTTCAAAGGGCAGCATCCCATGGCACTCGATACTACGAGTGATGCAGAGGTCCATCGAGATATCGAGCTATGCTGCCTCTTGAGCATTCATTTCGGCGACCGAAAAGGGGCTGGCTATTATCAGAGAGCCACCAAAGAGCCGGATGAGATGTATGCATCCTGCAGGTACGGATGGTAAAGTGGCAGCAGATGAATCCATGTGGACGGCGAGGTGTTTACCCCAGCATTGCGTGTGTGGTAGCATGCAGATGGACAGAGAGGCTGTTCAACATTAGCCGCAAATGCTTCCAGCGAGCTTTGGGTTACATGGTGCCTGGCAGAGCCATACATCGAATACTGTCTTCTTTACATACACCCCATCGGATTCGGTGAGTTTACAAGAGAATCACACACTGTTGGATGATGATGGATGAAGACCAACTGGATAAGACTACAACTTTACAGGAGAGGCAACGAGCGAGCGAATGGTTCGTTTGGTTGACGTCTCGATCGGCACTGACAGAATCGAGAGCATCGACGACGACTGACTCGCGATGTGTAGAGTGTTTAGAACGTGTGCTCCCAAATAACGGTAATAGAACCTGCACTGAAACCTCCAAAAAAAAAAAGGCATTCTCAAGGACCCCTAAAGTCGCTTACGCCCGATTTTTGACGTCTAGACCCAGGTGGTAGTCCGTTAGGAGTGAGACATCCCACTGGCCGACACCAGGTGGTGGTGGTCTGGACTATGTCTCACCCAATGAGGGATTTGATCTCAAAAAGGGCATCGTTCCTTCAGGAACGAGTTCTCTCTTCTAAGCTAAGGGGTAGGCCTCTTGGCCCTTCTAGACGTGCTCCATGGTCCCATAGAATCGCGAACGTGGGTGAGACCCAGTTTGCGGATGCTGGCTCGCCTCAAACTCGGAGATCAGTCGATCACCTGGCTCCAAGGCAGCCCGAACCAGGATCCCGGTCTACCTGGATGACCCTGACCAGGCCCTGTGATGACGGACTCGGAGGATCTCACTTCTGAAAATAGCTACGTTAAGGTAGCCATGGCACCCAGATCGCCTCTGGCAACAGCGAAGCCCCCCGTTCCGTGTGCACCCCCTCAGCAACCTCAGTCACCGTCGGTGGCTGTTGTCGATCACTAAGCGCGCCTCATGGCGAGAGAAAGCCAAGTTGCGGGAGGGAAACGCCTCTGCAGAATAGTGCGACTGCATGACTAGCAGAGGCAGAGCCTTCTTGCCTACTTGCCATCTCAAACGTTGAAGAAATCTCCAGCAAGATCTCAAAAAGGGTCGGGCTGTTTTAGCGTCTGACAACTCGCCAAAACGCCAGGCTTTTCTTAGATCGGAATGGCGCAATTCCGTTCTCAGCCGTGGGCCTGCGCCGCGATTGGGCGACCGCCCCGTGCGACCTCGCTCTTAGCGGCTTGGATCCGCTGACGATGGCCGTGAGGACGGAGGTCCGACGCCACACAGGACACCTGTGGCCACTGATCGCCCAGGTCTCTCCAGGCTGTCGGGCGAGCAGCCACAGGCGGTCGAGAATAAGGTTTGGCGCCATCTGACTGCATAATGGAACCGAACAATTGGCGGCCGCACCTGATCCAGGCACCGCCGCCTTGCTCAACACTGCAGCAGCCTCAGACGGGTCTTTTCTTATACCATGCCTTCACCTTCGTCCGTATCCAATTTGGCGCTCTGACTATGGCTTATGGCTGGCCGCCGGAGGTCAACTGATCCGTGACTATTCGTGCGCCGTTCTTGCGCCATGCCGCGAGCCGGGAGTCCAGGTACGCGTGTGTGCATCGCGATTCTGAGCGCCAGCCTTGACGGCCGCCGTGACTGAGGACGTAGCAGTGAACGCTATTCATCGCGATTGGCTCACGGCGCCAAGGTGACCTATCCATGCCGTCCGCCGCCTGTGTCGGGATCAGCCCTGTCAATAATACGAACATCTTGGATAGTCGTCATCGGGCTTGCAGCTGAAGCTGTTTTACATCAGCGGGCATGTCACAGATCCCAGCTGCTGGGACACAGAGGGTTTGACACAGACGCCCGGCGCTGGTCTGTGCTTGCGACTGCTCTTCTGTAAAGACACGCCCCCCTCCCCTTCCCCTGTTCCCATGAGCAAGGTAACTCCTGGCGCTAGACTTGACAGCCACGCACACACCCCTGCCATTCGTCGATAGGACCCAGGCCACTGGCGGGGGGGCCTCACAGTTGGGACGACAGGCGTTGAGAGCTCTAAACATTAGCGGATGTTTCATACACGAAGCAGAAGCGAGGCACCCCCCCCCTCGTCCTCTGGCACTCGGCGGCCACGCGACGAAACAACGGAGCGCCGTGGGCATTCCTCGAAGACCGGGACCGGCTTGGGCAAGCGAGGCATGGGTGGTTTTTTTTTTTCTCGCTTTCGCCACATATTGGACGTGGTCATGGACAATGCCAGAGAAAAGAGGCGCCCGGGAATGCGGCTTCGGGTAGTGCGTTTCAAGATGGTGATGCGGAGCGAGGAGTACGTATGTGAGTCGGCAATAGCCTCAGCGATAGGCTTCCGATTGGCATGAGTCTATCAGGTCAGGTCGATATGTCGCGTCCTCGAACCTGAGGCAGTTCTGCTTGTGAGTCGTCGCCCGTGAGGAGGCGTCATGCCAGGGATGGCAGACTGCTATGATTGTTCAATAGTCGCGTACCAGGAGGCTTGAGACTATCTCTATGCACTCCACGCGCTAAACTCACCCGGCTCGTTGTTTTTTTAGGGGGGGCCATTCAGGTACAAGATTTATAGCCAAGCAAGCCAAGATCATAGGCTCGGTGTGTGCTGGGTGAGGGTGAACCGCCATGTCAACGGTGGGAGCCATATTAGCTGATACTGAAGCTGGCCACCATCTAGCATACCGTCAAGATGAATCGTGATATCAGTAAAGACGTTCCTTCTCCCGCGATAAGTCGGCTGCATCCAAGTAAGGGCCTTAGATCTATCCAGAGGTGCCGTGTGTTCTTCGTATGCCTACTGTAGAAATTCATCATCTCGATAGCTGGGAGTTGCTAGCGGCTGATTGAGATGCTGAAAGCCACCAGCTGGCGGCAGATGGTGCGTGCCCCTCCCAAACCACACTCTGAGGCCAGCGGCGTGTGTCATACCTACCCCGCCAAAAATTTCATGATCGCGAAGCTCAAGACAATCGAGCTTCTCTTGCACAAGTCACACCACCACCCAACCAACAGGTCAAGATCATGGACCCCAAAGCCCCCGAAGCAGGCGCGGCCGACGCCGGACCGTCCAAGAGCGCCCTCAAGAAGGCCGAGGCCAAGGCCAAGAAGGAGGCCCTCAAGGCCCAGCGCGCCGCCGAGCGCGCCGCCACCCAGGTCGCCGCCATCCAGCTCGACGACCCGTCCAAGGACTTCTACGGCCGCGTCACCCCCACGTCTCCGGCTGCTTTCTCCCCCGACGCCAGGGAGGCCCACCTGCGCGACCTGGGCGCGGAGCACGAGGGCAAGAGCGTCATCATCCGGGGGTGGCTGCAGAACTCGCGCATCCAGAGCGCCAAGATGGCCTTCATCGAGCTGCGCGAGGAGGGCAACTGGGCCGTCCAGGGCGTGGTCCTGGCCTCGGCGCCCGACGCCCCCGAGGGCACGCACCCGGTCAGCCGGCCCATGGTCAAGTACATCGGCAGCACAAACGCCGAGAGCTTCGTCGCCGTCGAGGCCGTCGTCAAGAAGCCGTACGAGCCCGTCAAGAGCTGCCGCGTCGCCGACTGGGAGCTGCACCTGACCCGCTTCTTCCTCGTCGCGCCGGCGCCGGCCATGCTTGGCTTGACCATGGCGGCGGCGAACAGGGCCGTGACCAACTTTAGCGACGAGGAGGTCAAGCCGGCGGCCGAGGGCGAGGAGGCTGCGAAGCCGGCCGAGGCCGCTGCCGAGAGCGGCCCCGCACCGGCCGCCAGCATGCTTACCCACCTCGACAACATTGCCATGCACAAGCGCGCACCCGTTCAGCAGGCCATTGCCGTATGTGCAGGCTTGGAATTTAACGATTTTAAAATGGATTGCTAATTAATCAAATCTATTAGGACATCCGTATGGAGGCCAAGCACCTCTTCCGCTCGTACCTCCGGGAGCGCGGCTTCAAAGAGTTCGAACCCCCCTGCCTCATCGGCGCCTCCTCCGAGGGCGGTGCCAACGTCTTCCGCCTGCCATACTTCAACCAGGAGGCTTTCCTTGCCCAATCACCACAATTCTATAAGCAATTCGAGATTGCTGGCGGAAGGAAGCGCGTGTTCAGCATTGGTCCCGTCTTCAGGGCCGAGAACAGCAACACACCTAGGCACATGACGGAGTTCACCGGTCTTGATCTGGAAATGGAGATCAAGGAAGACTACACAGAGGTCCGCGATATGCTCGAGGGTGTCCTGCTGCACATGTTCCGTAGTCTTCAAGAGAACTGCAAGGAAGAAATCGCGCTCGTCCGTTCGGTCTACCCCTCTGAGGATATCCTCCTGCCGGAGCCCGGCAAGGAGGTTCGCCTGACCTTCGCCGAGGGCCAGAAGCTACTCCGTGAGGAGGGGCCCGAAGAGTTCCGTAACGTGTCGGACGACGAGGACATGTCTACCCCGCAGGAGAAGGCTCTCGGCGCCCTGGTCCGCAAGAAGTTCAACACCGACTTCTACGTGCTTGACAAGTTCCCCGAGACTGCCAGGCCTTTCTATGCCAAGCTCGACCCTCTTCACGAGCCTAAGGAGGGCGGCGCGAAGCTCTGCCTAGCTTACGATTTCTGCCTCCGAGGGCAAGAAATTCTATCCGTGCGTCCTCTCCCACCCTTTCGTTACAAGTTCGAGACAAACCAGCTAATACTTGAGTCTTACCAGGGTGGCCAACGTATCAACGATCCAGATGAGTTGGAGGAGCGCATTCGGGCCAAGGGCATCGACCCCAAGAGCCCCGGTATCTGCGACTACGTCGATGTGTTCCGCCAGGTGGGCGTGCCGCCTCACGGCGGTGGTGGTATCGGACTGGACCGCGTGGTGGCCTGGTTGCTTGCTCTACCGAGTGTTCACCTTGCCTCTTACTACCCGAGAACTCCAAAGAGGTTGCTGCCGTAAGGTAATCGCAAAAGCAAAGGGAAGGGCTATGCTATATACTACCTAGACCAGAGTATTTGTTCTAGAAGAGCGTATATATGTAGATGCTAGATTAAACGCTGGCAATTCAAGTATAAAGTGAAAGTGGTAAGGCCTTGGACCAAAGGAAGGGTGTGACCTATCGCACCCGACTCAGGCTATCAATCCGCCCAAAGGCAGATCCCCGTGGATATGGGCGGGCGAGTTCAAGTTACGGCTAGTGTTTCCGAGTGAAGCCACGGTTGAAAAATTTCCAAGACATACCCGCCGTGCCGCATTCCAACACGCGGCGTTCGGGGGGGGGGGGGGGAAGAGGCATGGAAACAGTTCCTCCTCTTTGCTGTTGAGAGACTGCACACCACCCCCCCTCGCATGACGGTAGCAATGTGGGTGTTAATGCGGGCGGAAGACGCTGACCTGGTTCGCTGGTGCGGCGAGTCGGCGGGCGTCGACCTCCCGAGACTTCCCATTTCTGGCTGGTGGTGGTCGTAGGCCGTCTTGGATTGGAGGAGGATTCTGGAGGAGGCCCAGTGCACTCGCTCCGACGAGGGCCGTTGAGGGGCACGCAGCTCCGAAGTCTTTGCTGAAGCAATCCCCAAGAGATTGATCTACCCAAGGGCCCCCTTAGGATTGATGCCGCTTGAGCGAGCCCGATCAATAGCCCAACTTGAGGTTCGCACAAAGTGCGGTAGCCTAGTTGGGGCTCGAGAGGGCCATCCATCTCCTGCTATCAGAACCTTAACGGCTCCGGACCGGCATCTTCCCTCTTTTCGCCACCTGCCTTGCCCGGTGCCAATGTGGTTTATGCTGCTCTCTTGTGTTTGGTGGTGGTGTTCTGCTTCTTTTTTTTGCCGCCGTTGTGGCAGCAGCACGGACAGGACCAAGTCCAATCACGAACGTCAAGAGGCTTGGTTCTCCTTAGGTGCATTCTGCAGGTTGGGTTCACCATGCAGCAACAGTACCTAGTAGGGTTTGGCGCACCAAATCCCAAAGATGATGCGCACCTGCGCATCCCATCCATTCTCCCAGTGGCAGGGAGCACTAGGTAGTATCGTCTTCGTTAGCGTGGTCCGTCTGGCGTTGTCTCTTTTGGACGGGGGCTTCCAGCCCACCCCAGATATGAGACATCACCAGCCCACCGCCACCCCCCCCCATGAATCGTGACAACGCTAGCTGGCCTGCAGTGCCCAAGGCAGCCTAGCTCGCCCAGTCCCAGCAGCACCGCGGGCCCTCCAGCCACTAACAGGCAAGACATGGCCTTTTTGCAACCAGCGCCTGGGCTGTTGAGGAATCTGTTTCGCCCGCTTGTTCTCTGCTGGGCGGCCATGAGGTGAGCAGATCCGTTCACGGGAGAGGCTTTTTTTTTTTTGTCTACTCTTACGATTCGAGAGACAGCACTAAGAAAGGCGAGGAAGGCAAGACTAGAGCAGGTTGGGCTGATTGATGATGGGCCTGTGGTTGGAAGCGGGAAAGAACTGAAAATGGCTACTCTATGGCGTTGCGCCTTCCCTGGAGTCAAATACAAGACTACATCCATTCAGCCCTCTTCCTCCCCCCCCGAGAGAGTGCATCATCATTTTCTACTTGCCAACGGCTGCCATTGTGCTTCACATCGCATCCTCAAGCTGTCCAGCTGCTGTGGTTCGGACGTGGTACGAAACAAACCTTTGACCGAGTCTTACACACCACCAAGACACACAGCTGTCAAAAACACACTCGATCCAGCTCAGCCCGGCTCACTCATCCACAGCCCTCTCCCCACCGGAGAGACTCTCACTCTCACGCTCACTCTCGGTCCCCGACATCCAAAGACCAGAAGGAGCCAGCGCGTGCGCACGGCATCGCCAGGCCGAAACACGCTGCCCCGGAAACAATTGGGGTCTGAGAAGGAGGCATCCCGTCCGGTAAGTCGGCCTGGCCTGTGTTGGTTGGTGGTCCCAGATGAAACATCAGAGGCTCCATCGCCCGCCAACCATCGTCAACTGTCACGAGGCATGCCTAACGATTCTTGGTGCATAGGGCGCTGCATCAACTCGCCAGTCAACTTGACCTCTTTTGGTGTCCTCGCTTCGCTTGTTGGAGAGACAAGACTCCCCTTGAAGGGTCTATTACAGATCGACAGCCCTTGTGTGGGGGCGTGTAAGGTACGCGGGCGTCCTCGATCGACACACACCCCCCCTTTCTCCCCCCTGGTCTCCCCTTTGGCCCCCCCCTGCACCCAAAAATACCCATGTCAATCAATCCATCAATCAATCCCTCCTGGCCCCCTCCCCGCCTCATATCGCGGCCGTGTTAAGGCACCAGGGTCGTTTACACACGGAGGAGTTGATGCACACCCCCAAGCTGGGATTGGCATTATGGCGGCCGGAATGGGTTGCAGACTATCACCTCGACTTACACACCCCTCTTGTCCCATCCTCCATCCCATCTGTCGTCGCTCTTGTTAAAAATGGCGATGCCCCCCCTCCACCCTGTCTAGCACCTTCAGCTGTCCTCCCTTCCTTCATGTTCCACCCTTAGACACATCCGAGCCGCCATTCCAGCACGAGAGCGCCGGTTTGCTAATAGACACGAGCAGATTGCTGTGGATCAGCATCTTGGTCTGACAGAACAGACACCAAAAGAGGAGAGGCTCGCCTATACACGCCACACGCCTTTCTCTGCATCTCCCTTGGAGAACCGACACGCTCGAGTCCTCCGCGTTCCAGTGCAATCCCCGGGACCCGGACTCGCGAGACTATTGCCGTCACCCATTCCACGGGCAATGTCTCTGGTGCACCCGCCCTCCTTGCCTGCAAGGGAGCCTGGGCAGGCTGTCGACTCCGTCAACGGCGGCCCCGAGACGTCATATACAGAGGCCTCGCAGCTCCCCTCCGAGTCCCACGAAACCTATGACGACTGCATCATTGACCAGTTCTACGGCCTCGACATTGACGACGACGACGACGACGACCAACAAGAAACAGACATGAACGTCGCCGCACAGAAGAACGCCGCCGCCGGCCTGGCACCGCCGGCACTGCCCGCCAAGAGCGCCATGAGAGCCTCTAGGCTGTTCGACGACCTCCAGCTGAAGCTGCGAGCGTCCATCGAGGCCCACCAGATCCTCGAGGCCCGGGACATGCTCGCGACCGCCAACCCGCACGAGGTCTACATGTCGTCTGAAGAGGAGGCGTCCTCCTCGGCCGACGACTTCTCCGACTACGACTACGACTCGGGCAACGACGACCCCCAGTCCCCATCCCGACGCAGCTACGAAGACACGGCCAAGGTGGTCTCGGTCGTCTTCATCGGCAAGCCCTCCCTCGTCGACCTCCCGTCCGTGCCCCGCCGCTCCGGCTCCTCGAGCACCGTCAACTCGCGCCGCGAGAGCATGCTCTGCGCCCCGAGCGGCGTCCTCGCCAGCATGACCCGGCCCTCGACCGCGTCGTCGGGCTCCATCACCAGCAGCTCGCACTTTTCCTTTTCCTCCTCGTCGTCCCGCAAGAACAGCCTCAGCGGCAGCAACAAGTTCTCGTCCCTGCTGCTCGCCGGCAGCGGCAGGCACCAGAGGCAGCACTCGTTCCTCTCGATCGACCCCTACGCCAACGGCAGCACGTACTCGCTGCCCACGACGCACGAGGAGGAGGACGACACCGAGGTGTCGGACGTCAGCCCGTCCAAGACGCAGGCGCTGTTCCGCGGCGTGTCCAAGACCTTCACGCTGGCCCGCAAGCGCAGCCGGCCCCTGCTCCGGGACTTTGCGGCCACGCAGCCCCGCGACCTCCCCGCCTCGCCGGCCAAGGAGGAGGTCGTCGCCGCCGCCGCCCCGCAGGAGAAGGCGCCCGAGCACCCCGCCGTGACTGTCATCCCCGCCCGGCCGCAGACGCCTCCTCGGTCGCCGCAGTCTCCCGTCACCTACAACGAGATCCTGCGGGCGGCGCGCAGGAACGCCTCGGCGTCGACGCCGCCTCGGCGGATGTCGATGGGCCTGCCCGAGTCGCCCGTCTCGCCGGTGACGGAGGCGCGGCGCAGTCTGCTGGCTGGACTGGCGGCGCGGAGGAGGGCGAACAAGGCTGCTAGCCGGCTTGTGTGAACGGTCTCTCCTTACACGATATCCCTTTTTTTCTTATATTTGTTTACTACGGAGTTGTCGGGCTTACTGCTGCTACATTTGCTATCTCATGGGTTATACCACATTGCGTTTTTTTTTAAACATCATCACACACACTATTACCGGCGTTTAAACTTGGACGGGGGGGCTGGCTACCTGGGATTTTATACATTGGGAAGGGAACTCGGGCATCGGCGCATTGGGAGGAAATATTCTACTGTTTATGGACATGGCGATGAGTCAGATGGGATGAGATGAGAATGCGGATGACTATGATGGAAGAGAGAGATATCTGGATGAGGCGGCTTGCAGTCTGATGGCTGCTCTGGATCGGGCTTCGGGATATTAGGACTGGGAAGGGAAAACAAATGGGCTATGATACCAGAACAAGGCTTTCCTTGTCATTTGAGATTTTATCTTGGAAATTTTACAAACGTTCTTCATGACGAACATGACCTCGTTTCAAATCTTGCTATGCGATGGTCTGTTTTGCTTTGATCTAGGATCCGCAGCTCCCCCATCTCACAGACATGTTCCCAACCGAGCGCCGAGAACCCGTGTAAGTCTTCAAAGTGTGTGCGTCGACCGTCTGAGACGTGACGTCGGGTGCCTGCATTTCCTCTCTCTGGACGCAGCCGATAGTGAGGGGATCCGAGCGGGTTTTGGTGTCTCTCTCGGCTGGCTCTCCCCAACTCTTGTCTAAGACTTGTGATTTCTATTGCCCTTTTTCTTTCTTGCCATCGTGTGCACTGTGTCGCAGAAAGTGACGCACGGATCTCTGTCCGAATGTCGCTTACAAGGACCTACATACACACACATCGGATCCAAAGAGGGAAGCGTGCGAGACTGTGTGCTGGTGACGAGGGGGGGAACGGGGTGAGCAAGGAGGCCCTGCTAGGAGCGTTTGAGGAGGAGGGGGAGGGGGGGGGGGGGGGCGGGAAAGCGAGTCCTTGGCTTTGCAAGGTCTGCTTGCTTGCTCTGGAGCTACATGGCGTTTGGATCTTCAAGATTGATCATCTACAACACGGGGTAAAAATGAACGAGGATTTTCCTTCTTTGGCCCCTTTTTTTCTGTCAGTCCTTGGATGTATGATCTCGTGTGTATGTGTGTGTGTTTTGGTACAATTTGACACCTTTCGATAGTGCCCGAGTCTGGTCACGCAGGGGGGGGAAGATAAACGCACTTACACCACAGCATATTACACACACACACCCGAGGTTGTCAGCTAGTCATCCCTTGGTTGAAACAAGTCCATATCTACCTACCTACATGACTGTTTCTCTTTACAATTGCAGACGATCGTTCAAAGTCACCTGCCCTTTTTTCTTCAAACACCCCTTTGCTTTTTCTCTTGGCTTTCTGAAGATCTATGCTCATCCCCCTCCCTCCCCCCCCCTTTTTTTTTATTCCCCATCCACGGACAGTAGGTATCTCTTCAATTCGGTCGGTCTAATAATCGGGAGTAAGGCACACACACACGTAGGTAAAGTGGTAGTAGGTAGGTAGTGTTGCAACAGAACAAACACCTAATTTGATGCGTACACACCACCCACCCCTCTCATAACCAAAGAGGCACAACAACCATGCCGATAACCCCGTCCATCAACCCAACATGCAGGAACAGGCTATATTCGAACAAGAAGAACGAGAGTCCCAGTCCCCCCCGCCCCCCTGTCCCCCCATGTCCATAGCTTTGATAGGCTGTCTAGGGGCCTTCCCGCGTTGGACTTTAAGGTGCATGCATGCCAGATATGCCTGCATCCTTTTGCTAGGCCCCCACTGCCCCCTTGACTGTATGGCTGCGTGGCAGAGGTGCAACTGACTGTATCCCGAGCATGGCCAGGAAGTCCACCAGAGCCAAACGATTGCAACGAAGAAAGGTGGAAAGAGGGCCAACAGAGAGGGCCGATCAGAAGGCGGCCGCAACAACACTGGAACATGCTGTTGGCGCACACAAAACGAGCAGAAGAAGAAACGGCCTACAATAATCTGACAAAGACAGATGCCTGCCTGCCCCCAACCCAACCAGGATTATTGCCCAGCTGCGCAGGATGTTTGCGTCTTGTCACCGGATAGATTCGGGCGGGCTGCTTAATAGTTGATATTTCGCTGCCTGCAACCTTTCTCTTTTCCGTATCCTCCCTAATGTAATGGGCCCTTTTTCCCGTGTCATGTTTAATCTACACATGTCTGCTTTTTTTTTTTTTTTTTTTTTTTTTTTTGAACGGGAGTTTGCATTTGTGTGGGATTTGCACCCCGCTTGGAGACTACGGTGCTTCGCTGGCAGATTGGGGGAGGCCCAGTCTGGGCTGGGCACACCACAACCTACCTTTGAAAACTCGTTGCTTTTGGAATCCCCCGCTGATCTCGTTCGAGACCGAGCGCTCTTTCAAGTCGCAGTTGAGAGGTGTGTCGATTGTTGCGGTAAGGTAACAATTTTGCAGAACCAACTCGCTGAAGCGAGTTGTGCCCAGAGTCTTGTCCAACAACATCCATTCTACCTAGGTAGCTAGGCCCCTCCTCCGCCCCCGAAAACGCCGGACCAACTAACAGCACACCCCGCCCGCCCGGCCGACCGACCCTTTGACGCACTCCACCCGGCGGCCCGCCCCCATCACATCATCGTCTCTGCAAAAAAACCAAGTGTGAAAATGTAACACGAGGGCCAACATCAAACCGATGAAACAAACAAAAAAAGTTGTGCTTTGTCAGGAGGAAAAAAACAAAAACAAACCATTGCTCCACCAGAGGACTGCGACCTCGTTAGTTCCGTGAGATGTTGGGCGGGCCCCCTTTTTCTCGCAGGTGCCAACTCCCTTGCCTTGCCTCCCGCTGGAATGCAAAAAAAGGTCCTCGTGGCTGCACCTCCAAAAGCAATACGACCAACCCAACCTCCCGTGCAAATGCACGCGCTCGAGCAAGCCCCCAACGACACTTAACCTTCAGGGCCTATTCGCACAAAAAAGGAACGCAAGGGAGAGACGGAGTTAAGTTCCTTTCGCAACCACACTCCACATCCTCTCGTATCCGGTGTTTGACACGGCACGATGAAGGGGAAGACAGATAGGATCCCGCCCCATAGAGTTGGGCGGAGGAGAGAGAGGTCTTGAGTCCGGGAAGCGGCGCCATGCGAGGCTCCAAGCTGTTAGGCTCGGTGAACTTCCATATCGAACGTAGCACGGTCAGAGAGGCTTGGAAGGCAATTGATCGCCAGACCTAAAGGCGTGAACTTGCATCCAGATAGACCGTTGTGTTATCGGGCTCACACCTTACCTGCTACGTGTTTGTCGTATATGAATATCGGATATATCTTGTATCAACAGAACTCGATGGCTATGGGTTTCTGGAGGAGCACCGACGTCTGAGCAGAACCGATAGCCCGTTGTGACACTTCAAGCCTTGCACACCAAGACGGATCCTGGACTCTAGGTCGTTCTGTCCCTGACCCAATGTTCTTCCTGCCTCTGCGGCCCGAGCATCGTCAAGGGTACTGACTGGTCCTACAGCCGAGACTGCCATAAGCATCCTGTGCACTTCACTCCACACCCCTGACCTCGAGCGAGTTAACTGTTACTTGTTTATTATTATATCTTAAATTTGGTCGGCTTCATCAGCCTATAAAACTCAAGTGAGTGATGGACAAGAGTCGATCATGCCGTTCGAGATACAGAAATAGAAGACGAGGACGACCTTGACCAGACGAGCCACAAAAGCCCTCCCAGCTAGGGATCGTCCACATCGTCCGTTGCCCATTGATCTCTCCGGAGAGGACCAGCGCCGAGTCCAACGCTCCGCATCGTACAGACAACCAACCCCTGGACCTACACGCGCCTGAAAAGAGTCCGTGATGTACACGCGTGCCGTTCCTCACGAGCCACGCCCTCCAACCCACTTCCGCTGGTAGATGTACGACGTCACATAAACCAGAGCCGACATGATTTTTCCTTCGTAAAAATTCCCTGCAAATGAGTCCAGATGCCGCGAAGACATGTTTCCGAAAAAAGCGAAACCCTATTGCTCATAATCAGGGTGACACAAGGAAGCGTCGCCCTCCGAGAATGGCTCTCTTTCGCCCCGAGAACCCTTGAAATTTGATCGCCACTAACCGGGAGTTCGACATCATTCAGAACAAAGATCGATTGATATCTTCTCTTTGGACCTGTCAATGACTCCCGCTTGCAAATGACAAACACCCTCCCCAATAAGGCCTTTACGCCTTGCGGGAGCGGGGAGTCGAGCCGTTGACCTTGGCGCCCGTTGTCTTGGCAGGGGTGGCCTCCTGGTGGGTAATGTGGCCGTGGATCAGGTCCTGAGGGTCGGGGAGAGGAGCCTGGCTCATACGGCGAAGCGACTTGCGGGCGGTCGGGGCCTTGCGGTCCTTCTTGTAGGTGGCGAAGTAGAACGAGATGAAGAGGACCAGGTACGAGCTCAGGGTACCGATGCCGGCGAAAGCAGCAAACTCCTCACCGGCGCACTTGCCAGCGTTGGGCATCCAGGAGAAGTAGGTCGAGGTGAAGTACGTGTATGAGGCGAAGTAGACGAAGCCTGCAGCAGCGCCCGGATTAGCCAGCGCCTACAAGATATCCATCCCAGAAGTTCAAGCTTACCAAGATCAATGACGAACTGGATGATCTGGAGGCGAGTGACCCACTCCTTCCACCAGATGCGGATGCCACGAGCGGACTGGAAGTAGTACCAGTACATGACGACGTGGACAGTCAGGTTGAGGGTAATGGGGACCCAGGAGACAGCGGTAGAGCCGATGAGCTGAGTGTAGCAGAGGAAAGCGGTAGCACCATGGTGGTAGCAGTGGAGGAAGGCTAGCTACGAATTAGCAATCGCGCATGTCTGCTGTCTTCACGGATCGGACATACTCAGGGGCTTCTTCTTGAGGAACAGGAAGACGGTGTCGAGCAGCTCCAGGTACTTGGTCAGGTAGTTCAGCTAGACAAACACACACAAGGTCAGCACCCTCCGGCAAGATGCGGCCATGCGGCCAATACGGTATCTGGGGCCCAGGACATACGTAGTAAAGGACGACAAGGGGCTGAGTCCAGCCGCCCTCGACGTGGCAGATGGCGTGGAAAATGCCGCCTCGGACGACGGTAGGCAGAAGCTGCTCAATGAAGAGCACGAGCAAGATGCCGCTGATGGCGGTGAGATAGAAGTTGTGGATGAGGAAGAGCGCCTTGAGCTTGAAGGGCTCGCGGTTGCGCATCAGCTCCCTGCCGCCGAAGATGATGATGTAGTAGATGACAATGAAAATGCCCGTCTCCTTGAGGGTCGACATGGGGGTCTCGCCGACCTTGAACCTGAAGTCCTCAGCCGGGTAGCCCGCGACCATCTCGAAGGCCTTGCTGAAGTAGGGCCATAGCTCGATGCCAAACGGCCGGTCGATGGTGGGGATGGGAATAGAAGAGGCCATCGCGACGACTGCAGACAGCTTCTCGACAGCGGGATTACAAGTGAATCTAAACAAGGGCACCGATGGTTAGAAGACAGGAACCTCGCGTTGTCGCAATGCGCCGCTAGCACTGCCATTGACAACTCCCAGGTCGATCGGACTCACAGTCAAACTTTTGCGCCGCGCAACACGAGCAAGTTTGGTTTGTGCGCACAGGCTGACACGGAAGACGCGGATAAGAGCGAGCAGGGAGACTGTTCGTTCCCCTAGCAAGATACGGTTATCCGGCGCGTCCAGCAGAAAAGAAAAGGAACCCAAGTGAAGGTCTGAAGGAGCGACAAGAAAGAAGGAGAAAAGGCACCGAAGTCGTTTGAGAGGTCTTGAAGCGAGACAACGACTCCTGTGCTGGGGAGGACGGGAGATGAAAGAAAAAAAGGACTCGAGAGAGGGTGTGGCTCGCTCTTGTTGGAATTAAGCTACGTAGCTTCCTGCTTATTAGCGTACTGACTAAGTAACCTGTCGTGCCTGCCAGAACGAGACAAAATATTTTGATGGTGGTTTTCGGGCACCCCTCTGCCCAAAGAAAAAAAAAAGGGGAAACATCCACTCAGCGTTCACTGGGGCAAGAAGCACCTCGGCGTCATTTTGCGCCAGAATTGCCCCCTGGAGCCAGCCCCTAGGTAACAGCAGTGCGGCCGGCCCCAAGTGGCCCTCCCAGTTAGCACGAGCCAATTTCTCAAGATCCGCATGTGATTCGCTGCGAATGCCATTGCAATTTACAGTTGCAATCGGAGACCGCGGGAGCGAATCGCAGGGGGGGCCTGCTCCGTTTGTTGGAATCTGCATCTGACAAGATGACAAAAGGCGGCACCAAGAACATTTTTTGGAGATTTGCTCCGAGCAGACTGTTCATAAGAACCCCAGAGGCCTGCTCGTGACCCTGTCTCTGAGATCAAAATCTTCTCTGTCCGCCCAGTCTGTCCTTTCTATGCAGCCAGTTCTTGCAGCCAGTAGCATAATTCTCCAAGCAGTTTACTTCCAACTTACTTACGGCTTGAGAAATGGCGAGAGGAGCTAGAGAGCGTCAAGGATCCACTGGGTACAGACCACAAGAATCTTTAGTACCTACCTTCTGCTATGTGGAAGCTTTGTTTCAGGGAAAGGAAAGGTCAATTCATTATTCATCGCCAGGGAGGGGAGCTGTCGGTATGCGTATCAAGAGGTCTACTTCACTATCTTCCTAAGTGCTACTCGCTCCTCCTGATCCAGCACCCAAACAACACCCTGATCGCTATGACCCCGCTCCCCGGCGTGCTTTAGCTCTTCCCACTCGTCGTCTTCGAGATTCACGATGACCAGCATCTGGGAGACCCGTACGAATGCTTGCCGAGCCGAATAGTCGCGCCTTGCCACAACGCCAATGATGCCCGAGTAATCCCTCTCCAGCCGGATCAAACCCAGCTCGCTTATACGCTTGGTGTGGTTCCAGAACCTCTTCTCCAGCGCTTGGGCGAGGTGCGCCGCCGCCAGGGCCAGGAGTGCGGTGTAGCACTGGGACGTCATGACGCGATGGAGGGGACGCATACACTGCTCCCAGCCTTGCTCAAAACGTGATGTGACCGAACTCGCCTCTTGTTGTTCATCTTCATCCTCCGGCCCCGTCATTTCTTCCTCCGTCCCGTAGTTGCTATCCCGGAACGCGTCGCTCACGGCACTACGTAGGCGCGGCTTGACAGCGTGGGTGAAAAGGGCCTGCGAGGCACTGGCTAGCAACTCGGTCGTCCTGGATCTGAAGGAGGAGACGAGTGTACGAAGCGCAGCAGCCACAGAGGCTAGATCCCGCGAATCGGTAAAGGCGCCGCCTAGGGGGCAGTCGGGTGGTGGAATGCTGCGCATGGATGATCCGTCGGCTGGGGAATTGCTTGTGCTAAAAAAGCGGTTGACGATGCGGAGGAGGTAGTCATTCGCTGCGTCGAGGCTATTCATAAGGACAATGAACATGATGATCTTGGTCTCAGGGGGGTTCCCTCGTGAAGTAGGAGCCCTCGGGTATGCTTCTTCTGACATTTTGTGATGTATGATGCCGACGAAATCCGTCTCGAGCACACGACTGATGACGGGGATGAGCGAGGTTGCGACGGCTATGTGGGACGTGGAGATGATCCTGCGGATAATTGTGTCGACGATGAAAACAACGTCGTCGACAGCTGTAATGATCAAGGGTGAGCTGGTGTCGACGGGACTTTTTAGCGAGATGCTCGGGAACTCGTTCAACTCGAAAGACTTCTCGATAGATCTCCGCAAGAAGAACGTCGTCATGGCCTTAAAGGGCGTTGCAAGTATTTCGTCAGTCTTACGGTAGAGCTTTGAACAGAGTAAGATGGTAGGAATAGGAGAGTGCCCCCCTTCCGAGCTCTCACTGGTGGTCTGTTGTGAGTGTGTTAGTAAGGAGGGCAAGACTGACGTTCCAGAAAGCGAGGATATTACCTTGCATTTTGAAGCAACATATTGCATGTAATGAGACCATGCGGTCAGCATGGTGGCCATTTCACCAAGAAGGCGATCCACATCTTTGGCATCTGTGGCTGGACTGTAGTCCTTATCTTGGGATGTGTCGTTGCTTGCTGGAGAATGTGTTCTGGGCACAGCTCTGTTCTCAACAAGAAAACTCTTCAACAAGAAAGAGAAAGGATAGCTTTTGATGGATGTGAGCCGTCTGTTGATATCCTCTGCCTCGCTCCATGCGTCCAGAATCATACCGCCCTGTATATCAGCCTCGTCCTGGAGTCGCTCGATCACCTTGACCATTTGGCCAGATCCGTAACAGTGCTCAACCAAAGGACCATGGATTTCGATGATGTGCACAATATGTCGAAATAGCTTGGTGAGGGCATTCGAATAGAAAAGCGGTGCTACCTGACCGCTTTTGGTCCCTTCCAGCTCCTTTCGCCCCCTCTCGGCCACGGCCTGGCATATGTGCCGCCCGTAAATATCCAGACCGACGTCGCGCATGCCGATCAAAGGGAACAACTTGAAGTACCTCGTGACCTTGGCCTCGTCCCCATCACGAACTGCGCGTTGGAATTCGCGGACGAACAGGCGGCACAAACTATGCTTTGCCTCCTGCAGGGTATCCCACGGCGGGTCGGGCACCTCGGTGCTCGGCACCACCGCAGCTGAGAAACCTCCGCGTATGATTTCCTCTGGTATTTTGGCAGTGCGAGAAAGGTATCGAGCTGCGCTATCCCAGTCTTGGGGAGCCCCCATCGAGCCTACGACACCGTGAACACATGCTTTCAGCTCTGCGACAAGCTCCACCACCTCGAGCGTTTCGTCGACCCTCCTCTCTTCCAGATCTAGCCGGTCGATCCTGCTGCTAAATTTGGCTACCGTCGATGCTGCATTGGAGAGCGTGGCGTTTGCAATGGTACGGGTGGCAATGACAAGTGAACCTAGGTTGGCTCGCAGCGAATCGAGTTTTCCGAGATGGCAATCAAGCTCTGCTAGTGATGAGCGAACGGTCTCGAGGCGTCGGGTTAGGGAGGCTTCGTGGTTATGGAGTCTTTGAAGCGCAGCTTCAACTTCTTCACGTGTCGAGACATCACGGATCTCCATTGCGGTGCGGCATTAGCAAAGTTGATGGGCTGTTATTGCAAAAAATTGGCAACAACTTCAACGGGTGCAAAGCGCAAACACGCGTGAATGCATCAGGTGCATAATGATTGGTGCAATTTGTGTATGTACAATAGAGTGACGCAGTTGGCCAACTGTTGATGGATGTTATCTCCCCCACAGGCTGACATCTCGGGCTGCGACCCTTCCAAAAGGACTGGGTAGGTATTGCATGGACGGACGTATCATCTGTGCTGGAACCTGGGCCTCGGGACTCGGAGCTTGGGTGCATGACGAACCTAGGCTCTGCTTTTTGGCTCCTTGTTTTCCTGCACAGTTATATCAAAGCTCTTCTACACAGGGGGGCATGTCGCAACACCTTGTCTTCCCTCGTATCAATTGAGATGCCCGCGCTGGCTGGCATCCCCGTTTGGCTTGGTGCTGTGTGATTCTGCATCATCACATCACGTTGTTTTTCCCTACTGGTAGAGGTTGGAGGTCGATCCTCCTGCTGCTTTGATCAGAAAGGGATAGTCCAGGCGTGCGTGGGCCTGCCTGCTGTGCTGTAAATCGTCTAGTCTCCAATTGAAAAACCAACGCCGCTTATTGGCCAGACCTCCGCCAGGTCTCCATCGCAACACGCCCAGCTGGGCGGCGCCTGGTGCCTCAGGCGGAAAGGCAGCCAATTATTTTCACGCAATTCGCTACAGGCCAGCCAGCCAGCCAGCCGGAATCCCTAGGTTACTAAGGCAGAGCGAGAAAATCGTAGCCGAGAGATCATTCGATTCCCAACCTTGCTGCCAAAACCACAGCTTCCCTAGGAGCAACACCCGTCTCACGACCTCGCAAAACAACTCAATCTCTTTTGTCCGCTCTCTGCTCCTGCTCTCCTGCCCTCCCGTGCCTCACAGCTTCTCGTTTTCTTTCCTCCCGCCGACGCACAACCGCCGCCATGTCCGCCTCCCTCCTCCGAGTCGCCGCCCGCGGCCCTGCCACCACCTTCTTCCGCGCCAACACCCTGCGCGCCGCCCAGCCCATGACTGCCCGCGCCGCCATGGTCCTGCCCATCGTTGCTGCTCCCTCCTTCAGCACCTCTGCTCGCCTCCGTTCCGACCACGGCGAGGAGACCTTTGAGGAGTTCTCCGCCCGGTACGACACCCAATCCGTGCACCCGAGTCATCATGGCCTGATCTCACCCTCGACCACCCTCGACCCTCCATTGGAGCCCGTCGCGACCCTCAATGGGCAGCACGACCTCTGGTGAGAACTCAATTGGCTAACGGGAAGCTGTTTTGCAGGTACGAGAAGGAGTTCGACAGCGTCCAGGATGTTTTCGAGCTTCAGGTACGTGGTTGATTGTGGTGGACCCACCCAAGGTTATGACGGCGCAGGCCGTTCTGGAGATGATCAAAGAGAGACCGATCGGACTGACGTCGATGTGCCACCAACCACAGCGCAACCTCAACAACGCCTTTGCCTACGATCTCGTCCCTTCTCCCTCCGTCCTCATCGCCGCGCTAAAAGCCGCCCGCCGGGTGAACGACTACCCCACCGCCGTCCGTGTCTTCGAGGGTAGGTTCCCCCATACAATGAATAAGCTCTATCCGAGGGCCTCTGACCACTTGGACTAACGTTGCGGCGCAAACGCAGGCATCAAGGCCAAGGTCGAGAACAAGGGCCAGTACGAGCAGTACCTGCAAGAGCTCAAGCCCATGCGCGAGGAGCTCGGCATCCTCCTGAAGGAGGAGCTGTTCCCCGAGGAGCAGCAGTAAATCCTCCAGCGAGAGATCGAGCTCTCCCTGCGATCGTGCAAGGCAGGCTGCGACCAGCCTCTCTAGGATGGTGCGGGACTCGCCGTCACCGACCGGGAGCTGGACTTGTACATTTTTCCCAAACCATATGAAAAAGGCAAACTCTAGGACATCGTCGGGAGGCAGTTGTTGTTGTAGTTGTTGCGATACCAGTATAGGCGAAGATGTAGGCTGCACTGGCATTTGTAAGAAGAGAAGGAGCGCAGAGAGACTGATAGAAGAGAGAGAGAGAGAGTAGTTAATCCATCCTCTTGGACATCATCCGAGATTCACTTTTATCCGTCTGCTGCTCCTGCTCCCATCCGTTAGTGTATGGTACGATTTTGACGAAACACGGGCATTCGCAAGGGCGGCACATGGTACGAGGGCCGACATATCACACTCTGACTTGCCGTGCCATTGGTTCACCGACCAAACGTTCTTCTCTATTCAGTACCAAAACATATGTAATACGGTCTCGGTTATACAGTGCTCAGGATCGTGCGACCAGCAACACACGACGCACACGAAACCAACGGTAATTGACAAAACGCATGCATGGTATATGTATGCAACCACAGAACACCGACAGACAACAACAACAAGTAGAAAAAGGAAGAAGCAACAAAAGCTGGATCGATGCTGTGATACCGCTTCCCGCTTTGCAATGTCCACACCCACACCACATCACCACCAACAAGAGAACTATCCATCGCCAGCACAATCGAGTCCTCGCCAGGACTCTCAATCCCGCAGGTGCCCCCACCGTCCATTCCCAGCCGGCTGATTGAAGTAGGCCATGCCCGGCGGCATCCCCGGCGGCGGCGCACCACCGCCTCCAGAGGCGGCGGCGGCGGCACCCCCTCCTCCGGGCCCGTCGTACGGCACGGGGCTCGTGCCCCTGCTAGACGGCAGGCCCGCGGCGCGCCCGCCCGCCACGGTGCGGGGGCTCATCATCCCGAGCCGCGGGCTACGCGGCACGCTCGTGGCCCTCGTCTCCCGGCGGCCGTTCTTGAGCAGTTTGAGCTCCTCGCGCGCGCGCTCGAGGTCGCGCTCCCGCTCGCGCGCGATGGCCTGGTGCTCGAGCCACAGGCGCCGCAGGCCGTCGACCTCGGCGGCGTGGTTGACGCGGTGGACCTCGAGCAGGTTCCGCGAGGCGCGCTGCTCGAGGTCGCGCGCGCGCGCCTGCAGCTCGCGGTTCTCGGCGGCCAGGTCGGCGGCCGAGTTGGACGCGTTCTGGTAGGCCGAGCGCGCGTAGTCGAGGTCCGTCTGCGCCGAGGCCGCCTTGCGCTCGAGGGCCTCGGCGCGCTGCACCGCCTGCCGGAGCTGCTCGTCCGCCGCGGCGAGGCGCGCCAGGTCCGGGTTGTCCGACGAGGCGAGGGCCTTGTTGGCGTCGGCGAGCTTGGCCGTCAGGGCCGCGACGTCCTCCCTGAGCTTGGCGGCCGTGGCGCGGCCCGCCTCGATCTTGGCCTCGGCCGCCTCGGCCTTCTTGACGGCGGCGTCGCGCTCGAGCTCAAAGGTGCCGCGGTCGCGCAGCGCCTGCATGTACTTGGGCTGGATCTTGCGCGCCGTCTTCTCGTGCGACTTGACCTGGCTGTCCAGGCTGCGGATCTTGCCGCGCAGCTGCTCTTCAAACACGTCCTTTTCTTGCAGACGGGTCTGCAGCTGCTCAATCTGGTAGAAAACTGTTAGCAATGCAAGGCTCGTCTTTCATCTGTTTCGTGCTATGGGTGGCTTACCTTGATGGCCATGGCTTCAAGTTGGTCGACAGAGATCTCTACGGTGGGGCCCTTGATAGACAACGATCCTCCAAGGGCTGCTAGGAGTGCCTCGCTGAGGTGGATGGGTGACTTGAAGCCGGCGCGGTCCGCGGACTCACTGATCCGCGCGCGTTTCGGTGTGCCTTCGGCAGCATCATTCTCATCCTACTGCACGTCAGTAATCACGACAGATTTGCACAGGTTTGAGTCGACCATACCAATAGCCTCTTACGACTGGTGCCCCGAGTCGTGTCTTGCTCCGGCCGCAGCATCTGCTCTTGAGTAGCCTGTTGAGGCACCTGTGAGCTCAGGTAGACATCAAAGATGTCGTCAGGGATGGGCTGGGGCTCCCAGTCAAAGTCGTTGGTTGGGTTTCGGATGTATCTGCTGAAAATCTCGGCTGCCTCATGGGGCTCTGGGTATCCCCGTTCAGGGTCAAGGATGAGCGGCCGTGACTGCACCGTGGATATGAGAAGTGCATTTTTGCGTTCCAACGCATCTAGGCTCTTGGATATCCTCAGGTCGATGTGCTCTACCGAATGGGTAGCGACCAAGGACAGCACCGTAGGCGCGCCGTTGAACTGGTCGTCCGAGGCGTACAGCTTGAGCAGGCCAGACACCCGCGATGCCTGGTCGAAACCAATGACAAGATCAACTTCCGAAGGAAGCTGAGAGGCATCGGCGTCCGTGCTGCCGATAATCACCGACAGCGGGCTCCCCGCATCCTCACTCTGCAGAAAACTCTCATCACCGAGCCGCTGATACTTGAAACCCTCTGTGGCTACAATAGCCTCGATAAAGTCGGCGATACGACCGGGCCTTGACAAGAATAGTACCTGGAGCGGCATGTCGCGCAGCCCGTCGAGGAGTTCGTAGACGAACGAGAACTTGCTATTCGTTCCTGTGGCGTGCTTCTTCATCTCCTCCTTGGACATCGAGGGCAGGCTGTCGACAAAGGCGGGAAAGTCGCCAATGTCAAGCAGCGACTGGAACACATTGTTGATACCAGCGACTAGTGAGTCCTCGGGATCCTTTGGCTCGTCGCTGTTGAAGACCTCTGTGAACGCTTCGATGATGCGCTTGTTGTCTGTGATCTTTTCTAGGTACTGTGGCCGAAGGTTTGCCGCAAGTGGCAACGTGATGACATACTCGTTCAGTGCGGCGGGTATCGGAGTGACCAGGTTGTCTAGAGATGCCACCTGATCGTCGTCTGACGATGGCGACTCGGACCCGGGGAGCATGTCTGCCACGGCTTGCTCCACAGTCTCAACACCAGCGAAGTCGTCGCCTGGTAACGATGTTATCGGGATGGCGTCAAACTCGGTCGATGTCACAAGCGCCGACGGGGCTATCGTGCCGGAGACTAGGTGCTCGTCGTTTGTCGATTCCAGATTCTCATTAGTGGAAGGTTGTAATGATGAGGCGAAATCGATACCGAAATCTCCGCCTCCAGATGGAACTTTTCCCGGTGTAATAAAATCTGCTGCAGGTTGCCGTATCGAGATGTCTGCAGGGTTTATATCCATTGCCTGGGACATCTCAGAGTCTTGCTGCCAGGTATGATGGGTGTCTGGGTGAGAAACTTCACCAGCAGCCAGCCCCAAGATTCCTTCACCTTCACCAGCGAAAGCAATAGAGGGCGACACAATGGGTTGTTCACCGCTGCTCTCGACCCCTTGGTCTGACCCAAGTCCAGTATTGCCGCGCGCAAAAGCCAAGGCTTGGGCCTCTCTGAGCTCATCAACCGCAGACCTTGGGGTCGCATTCCTTGAAGTGCCGTCCATACTGGAAAGTTCTGGGGTAGCTGGTGATGCGGATCTGAGCTCGTCTTCTATGTCTGGATGGAGGCTGTTGGATGGCGAATGCCTTGGACTGCGGTGTTCCTCTCCTTGATAATCTTCCTTCTCGACGCTATCAACAATACTTGCGGACGGAAATAAAGCTGAATGCTGCTGAGGTGGCGAGACGTATCTGGGCTTGTGGACAGTCTCTGGGATGATGTGGTCCACAGAGCTGTCAAGGCCGAGACCTGAGAAATACTGAGACTGGAACTCTTCACTGGGTTGGCTATGAAGGGGACGGATGAGCTGCGCAGAGTGGGCAGCCGCTTCAGGAAGTGTCGCTGATTCTGAAGCAGCTGGAAGGGCGTTTCGCACCGCAGGATCTGTCCTTCTGGTGTTTGACGCTCTCTGAGAGTCAGACTCAGGTTCCAGTGTAGGTGTCAAGTTGAGCTGAAAGTCAGGCTGTGTCTGAAAGTGGAAAAGCTCTCCCTCCTCAACAGACAATCCTTGCGGCTGTGGTCGCGGTAGACCACTTGGCGTTGTGCTCGTATTTGACGGTAGAGAAGATGCTTGAGGATCTTCCGACGTCGTCTCTAAGCCTCTGACTGATAGCGATCCGCCAGGTTGATGCGAAGGAATGGCACTACCAGAGGATTCTTGGTTTGAGTTTCGTTGTTGCTGATCGCTGGCTGACTCCGCTTCAGCTACTGCAATCCCGGGGGCCTGTGCTCTGGAAAGGTTGATTTGCGAACCGTATCGAACAGCTTCAAGTATTTCACTTGACCTCGGACCACTGGAGGCTTCAGCGGAGGGTTCTGAAGCAGAAAAGTCCTGTGAATCAGGTATGGTCCTCTGCGATACAACAGCTTGCTGTGTAGACTGAGGATCGCACGACGCACCTGGCTGATGGAGGCCTTGTGAAGCGGTGTATTCCGACAACTGTGATGAGGTAACAGGAACGTACTCGGACAGATCTAGGCGGGACGGATTCGACAGTTCGATGACAATCCGGTTGCCCTGATTGATTGCGGGGAGATCAGGGCTGTGTGAGAGTTGAGGCTCGGGAGATGAGCGCAAGGCATCTGCGGTTTCCTGAGAGGAGAGCGTTCTCGTTCCTTCAAACTGCCGTTGATGTCCAGTAGTTCCTGAAGCAGAGTTCCTCCCCGAATTCACAATATTTCCATCTGTACGTCGCTTTGCTCGCCAATTTGGAAGTTGTACGGGCTGGCTGTCGAGGCTCGAGTCCTGGGTTCCAAGCTTGCGCCTCCTCTTTACACGCTCCCAGTCCTCGACTGCTTCCTCGTTGGCGTCTTCTGCGGGGATCTGGTCATCATGTCAGCCGTTGTACGTTTTGCGCCGTGTGAGTTGAGACAGGTGAGCTATACCCAAGTTGGTTCGTACTTCTCTCCCGTTGCAATGTTGTCGGCCCAGTCCACCTTGTACCAGAGCTGCTTCTTCTTGAGCCTCTCGTCTACTATATCCTTGATCGCAAACCACGTGTCTTCTGGGCTAGAAGTCGGTCTTTGTTGTATATGCGCTGGGGGTCTTGACTTGGCCGGCCCGGGTTTATCACCACTATGTATATCGGGTGATGTGCTTGTTTCTCGGTTCATTGACGCCGAGGTGTGCGCTCAAGGGGTGCATAAAGACCGGAGTAGCTCTGAAATGAGGAGCTTCCAGCTTAAAGAGATCCAAGAAACCCCCAATTGCCTGTGTGGTGGTCTGCGACAAGCGGCACTGAGAATGCGACCAGCACTTGGGGTGGTTTGATCGGGAGAAAGAAGGTGTAAGTTGCAAGGCTGGACCCTGCGATAGCTGCCATATCAGTAGGCCCAAGGCTAGCGTCTCTCGCGGCTTGGTGGGGCCTTGATTTGGACTTTTGGACTGCTAGAATGGCCTAATCAATCACGTGGAAACAAGGGATTACAGGTGTTGCAGTGCAAAGACCACCGCCTTTCGGTCAATACAAACCAAAGGAGCGTGCCTAGACTTACAAGATAGTTCCAGAGAATTGCAAAGGTTCAGTCCTACTTTGGATTGTTTGCTAGGAGAAATAGAAGATTGATACCTTGTATGTAGACTATGTTCAGAGCATTCAAAAGGGCGGAATCCTTGCTGAAATACTCAACGTTATCATTACTCGTGTCTACTTGCATCTGTTTAAGTACTTCCTGGGAGCAAGAGGTACCTAATGGAGCTAATAACCAGAAGTACTAATTAGATGCATACCAGGCAGTGTGCTTCCTAACATTAGCATTAAGTTGCGCACTAGGTACTCTGACAGCAGAGTTGAAAAAATTTGACGTCTCAATCACTTTCACTTCGTGGTCAAGAACAAAGTGTTATCAGACTGCCGAAGTTAATGCGATTTGTTTGCAGGGGGCTGCTGCAAGGCTGAAATTTAGCGTCTTCGGCTGAACCGTCCCTCACTAAATGGGCCCCTAAATTTCTCCAGGAATCCTACTAAAGCTGCCGGACCCAGCCTCACTGCACCTCACCACCAACTTTTTGTACCCCGCCAGTGCCTGTCTGCGTCTCTCGGCAGAGACAAACACTTCTCGCCTTGGACAAAGACGCTTTCTACCAGAACCTTTCACAGCTGCCATGTACGTCGCTGACAGTACATGAGAGCTTTTGTTCCGAACTCAGGCTCACCCTCCTGACAATCCGTATGCTGACCGAAGAAATCTACGATCAGCAGCCCGTCGCGTCTTCCGGACCTCGCCAGAAGGAAACACCTCGCACCGAGATACATGCGCCCGTTCAGGGTCGCTCCAAGCAGAAACGCCCGTGGTACGCCTGCTGCCTGACCCTCAAAAAGATTCATGAGGCGAAGCTGACCAGACAAAAGGTCTGCCTTCGAACGCTACCACTCCGATACCTGCCATTCTTTGCCTGACCATGGGTAAATAAGTGCTACGGATCTTTTGCAAATCGGCAGTGGCTTACTCTGTCAAAGGAATGTCCGAGGTGCCACACCTGTGAGGGCTTCGATGGATTTTATTGGGGGGGTCAAGCGGTTGTTCAACATGGCAAAGCCAAAACCAGTATGTTCGAGGTGCGCCTCCCATTGGAGGTGCTATGCTAACAACTCATAGGGAAGCGCCAGTGAACATAGACATGTCGACCGGTTGTCTAAGCCAACTCGAGCGGTTCCTTCGGATGGGAAGCGCGAAGCTAGTGCTAAGCACGAGCAATGGGGATCTGTTCACACGAGAGCAGTCTTTGCAGTCCACGACGGACAAGATGATCGCGACTCAGGAGAAGCGGTTACCCCAGTACATGCGGCTGAGAATGTGCGGAGCAAGCATCCCAAAGACAACAGCCTCATCACCCCAGTGGATGAATATCGTGCGATAGACAAGCATATCGGGCCGAAGCGTCGGTCACGACCACCCAGAAATCAGCACACATCATTCTCCTTTGACAAGTACCAAGTTCCCGGAGATTCGATCAGGGACGACAGTGGGAGCGAGGCAGGCACCTCAGTTCAGGCATCCTCACCTCGTGCCGGCCCTACCCAGTCACCACACTTCCCATCAAAGCTGACCAAGGGGGCGCAATCACATCCAAAAGATCGAACCTCTCTGAAACGCCACTTTGATGACAGCATCGATGAGCTTGCATATGAGGCTGGGGATCAACCTCCCAAAAAAATCACCGTTCGGAACCAGATGTCGGCCTCGACCTCAGAAGCAGCGTCTTCTAGTCTTTCCAGGAGAGGAGACATGGCAAATTCCAAATTCCTACCGAGCTTGAACAATCGAAGCCGCCGTCGGTTTGCCCGGCCTCTAGTCGTTCAAGCAGCGTCCTGTGGACTAGTTCACAATCTGCGATCCAAACAGGGCGGCATGGTTTGTAAGCTCAAACTGGATCCTGCAAACACAGTCCTGAGGGCAGTTGATAGCTCTGGAGCGTGCGTGCCTGAATTGGATTGGCTCGAGCCCAAGTTGGAGAAGATGAAGACTGTCAAATTCAACCCAAAGTCTCCCTTTGTCACCATATACAGATCCGCCCAGGTTGGAGCTGGTGGGAAACTTCACCTGCAGTTTGGCGAAGTTGAACACGCGACAGCATTCATCGACTGGGTTCAGGGTGCTCGCGCCCACCAAATTATCTGCCACCAGGAAGAGAGCGAGATTCTGAGGAGAGAGTTCGAAATTTCTTGGCAGCAGATAGAATTGCATCTGGAGAAAGCCGAGGCCGAATCCGAGACGAACACTCTGCGGCATGCCCGCGGTTCTATCCCGAAGCCTGAGATCGCCTCAAAGCCACCAATTGGTACACTCAACTCCCGAGAGTCGAGCCTGTTTTCTCGACAGACTCGTTCTCTTCGACGAAGTATGCGAGGTGAGGAGGAAACCATGCCACCAACCCCGAATCAGACGACAGGCGCATCCTCTCAACTATTTGATATCCATGGCTCACGGCTGAGACGGACTGCAAACTCGTCCAAACCTTTAATGCGAGATCCAAGTCTCGAACCGGATCGGTGGACAACGAATCATCCGGAATGGGCAAGGGATTGGATAGTGCCCCTAACATACCTCCGAACCACTGTGGACAAAGACGACATCCCGCGACTAGATGCAGGCCAATTTCTGAACGACAATCTCATCATGTTCTACTTGCGATATCTCCAGGATCGGCTTGAACGGGAAAACCCTGCCGTGGCCAATCGTATCTATTTTCACAATTCCTTTTTCTATGAGAAGCTCAAGCTCAACAAAGGAAGAGGAGTCAATTACGATGGTGTCAAAAAATGGACCTCCAAGATTGACCTTTTCTCATACGACTATATCGTCGTGCCTGTGAACGAGAATGCTCACTGGTGGGTCGCGATCCTTTGCAACATGTCGAAGTTGCTACCTAGGTCGGCAGAGCTCCAGCCCGAGGTTGCTGTGGATGGCATTCAAGTGGTGTCGGTACGTGACGGACGGCCGTGGCCGAAAGAATCCTTGTCGATCGATTTGGTTGATAAGTCGCTGGGCGAGGCTTTGAAAGGTGCCCAGGCCCCCAAAGCAGGCAGGGTTCCAAGCCCAGGAAATATGTCCAAGGCCGAAGGAGATCAAGAAGACGCTACGGGTGACGCAGCCCGCATTGCCAGCGATCTTGCTCAACCCCCAGATGCCACCACACCACGAAGACTCAAGAAGGGACAGAGGCCGTCGCTTAGAAAGTACGACCCTAAGGACCCGAAGATCATCACTTTGGATTCTCTTGGCGCAACTCACCCTATCACCGTTGGCCATTTGAAAGAGTATCTTGTCCGTGAAATCAAAGAGAGGAAGGGCATCGACATTCCCAACCCTGGACCTCTCGGCGTTACTGCTAAGAACATTCCCTTACAAGACAACTTTTGCGACTGCGGCATCTATCTTCTGGGCTACATCCAGGAGTTTTTGCGCGATCCAGATTTGTTTGTCAAGGGCATTCTACAACGAGAGGATCACCGTTGGGCCGTCGATGCAAAGGGTCTGCGCAACGAGCTTCGCTCACTCATCTTCAAACTACAGAAGCAACATCAAGATGAGGAGATGCAGAGGAAGCAACAAAGGAAGCGTATGAGGCAATCTAGGGAGCCGGGAACCGAGGGTGAGAGTGCATCACCCAAGGATTCTCGTCGCGCGGCCACTGAGATTCCTGGCCCCAGTACGCCAGGACGGGTCGCTTCAGCTGCAACTTCACGTCGAACCACGCCTGGAGTGGGGGCAGCAACACTGGACTTCTCGAAGCACGATGCTTTCGAGCGGGAAAAGACCTCTGCGGACTCGAAAATCTCGGCTCGCGAAACTCCCGCAAAGACATCTCCTGGACGTGCTGGCAGCGGAACATGTCAACGTCAGGTGATCACAGTGGAAGACGATAATCTCGATCTTGGAGACCACCCGGCGGCAGCGCCACAGGAAGTGGGACACGGGCGGCTTTCCAGTCAGGCGGGCGATGAAGACGTCAAAATCATTCCATCAATAGAGTTGGTCGATGTCGAAGACTCTCCCCCAATGGCGCCGACCCCTATGGCAGGCCCCCCGATGGCGAGCATGCTAGACTAGGAGATGCAGCAGGCTCTTGCTGGTGCTGCGGGAGGTCCGGGCGGATTGGGGACCGGGCTCAGCCTGCAAGAGCTGGTGTACGGAGACACGCCGGAGCTGCTTAGTCCCTTATCATCGTCCTCAGCAGTCGAATCTGTGAGAGATGGGGTCTCGCCGTATGTGCCCGGCGGCTATCCCATTTGGTCTGACTCGGATACCTCCGACGATGAGCGGGTTGTGATGTCTCGGAGCCGCAACGAACAGGAAGCGGTGATGCGAAGCGAGTTCGGCCTGTCTATCATTGACACGGTGACGTTGCTGGAGTGAAGGTGTACTTGGATGCACTTGGCCGTTGCAGCCAGGTATGCGAAGCGGATCCGGTACGCATCTGCCTATTGTGCAAGGGCGTCTGGCGGAACGGCATAGCATTGGTGTCATTATGACTTTGATGAAAAGGCTTGAGGGGACTCTTCTTCTCCCCCTCCATGAGCCTATCCAATGTTTCAATGTTTCGGATTGCATGACTGAATGGCTACGGTCATTTAGAGATTTTGGGGCTTTTTGGCGTTGTTCGGGCATCGGGAAATGCATAGTGCAGCATAAGATACCTCAGTAGCCAGAATCTCTGAGAAATTCAATGATAATTTCTTCTTCATCCAGTACTTACATGTAGTATGTCGTGCTAATTGAATCTATCGTGATTGGATTCAAAGGAGCCCTCCGTATTTGGCTTGCTCTGTCACAGTCTCACGAGATCACTCACTGGTCGAGGGTAGCTGGGCGCTGGACCCGAAGGTGATTGGTCAGCGAGCTGTTGGACCCACCTGAGGTGTGTCCGTCACTAGCAGGCTGTAGCTGACTGCGCGTCCCATAAGGCGAGCTTCATAGTCCAAACGCAGCAGCCTTGGCCCAATTCCAGCTTCGAGCCACCATCTTGACTTCATCAACACAGCGACAATCAAAATGTGAGCGGCGCATCCTTGTCTCGAAGCATCTGCAGTGCGATGGCTGACCCAAGTCTGTGAAATAGGGAGGTTCTTCTCGGCATCACGGGCAAGGACTTTACCTTGATCGCCGCCTCCAAGGCGGCGATGCGAGGAGCGACCATCCTCAAGGCATCCGACGACAAGACGAGGCAGCTGAACAAGCACACGCTGATTGCGTTCTCAGGAGAGGCGGGAGATACAAGTCAGTAGAAGCTGGACCTGCCCCCTTAAGCAGCTAGCTAGCTAACCAGGAATTCCCACCGCACAGTCCAGTTCACCGACTACATCCAAGCCAACGCCCAGCTCTACTCGATGCGCAACGAGACGGACCTGTCGCCGTCGGCGCTCGCGCACTTTGTCCGCGGCGAGCTGGCCTCGAGTCTGCGATCGCGGAAGCCGTACAACGTCAACCTGCTGCTGGGCGGCGTCGACCCCATCACCCACAAGCCCAGCCTGTACTGGCTGGACTACCTCGCATCCCTGGCGCCTCTCCCCTACGCCGCACATGGCTACGCACAGTATGTTGCATGACCCTGTCCTGTGGGCAGATGGTGGTAGAGATCGCTGATGCTGACTGATGACTGCGACGCCCAGATACTACTGCCTCTCCATCCTCGACAAGCACCACCACCCCGACATCACTCTCGGCCAGGGCATCAAGATCCTCAACATGTGCACGGATGAGCTGAAGAGGAGGTTACCGATTGACTTCAAGGGCATGCTGGTCAAGGCGGTGACCAAGGACGGCGTCGTCGAGATAGAGTTTGACGATGACAAGGTCGTCAAGGCCGCTTAAGATGGTTGGGAGACGGACAGTACGACGGTTCGAGATGCAGCAGTCGGCGGCCGCATAGAGCGGTTGTGTGTACTATTACTCTTGCAAGGAAGACTACAATGGAGTTCACGAGATATCCGAGTCGTAAGGTCTATTACTACCACTGCAGTTCGTTGGGGACCCCGAGGCGCCTGGTTGCCTAGTTCGTCGTTCCTGGTGCCTTGCCTTATTGCATCTTGTCGCCTTCCAGCTTCTTGATCGTGACTGGTCGACTTATCTGTCAATCCTCCAAGACAAGAAATGCCAGCAACATCTCGTGCCCATCTAACGCGTAGGCCACCTCCTTGTTTACTCATCGAGACTTGATTGGCTGAGACTGAGTGTTGCTGTGAGGCGTGATTGGGCGTCATGTGAGCTATCACACTGCATGAAGCAGAAACGCCGCCGCCTCGAACCGAATGGGGTGGAAAGCAGAAGGGCCGTCGGTGTGGTGCGGCAAGCTGCAGCAAAACAAGCAGCGGTGAGGGCCACAAACTTGCCTGTCATTTTTTTTTCTTTGCTTTTTTTGCTTTTCTATCTTCTCTGGGAAGCCGGTGCAGCATTGACGGCCGGTGATGGCTGCACCTCGCTTACATCCCCCGGCTGTGGTCGACACGCATGGTGACCAGTACATTTGCGGTCTTTGCAGAAAGTTGTATCCGCCCAGAGCGACTTCATTTTGATACGTAGAGGAAATGAAGAGTAAGAAACCGGGCGGCAGAGTTCCGAAGTGGGATACGTAAGAGAGAGGATGTCAACGTATGTTTGCCTCATGGCTGGCGTGGTTTGGGCTGCATCGCGCTGTGTTTCCAGTGCTGCCTCAACGGCACTCTACATCTGTGTACCTTACCTACCTTAGCCAAGTGGGATAGCCCAGCGCGTGTACCGGGATGCCTCATCGAGAGAGAGGAGAGGATCAACATGGCACGACCCAGCAAGGTAAGCGTTGCAAGTTCAGACGGCTTGATACATTATCCACTTCGGTAACCACATGTGACAATCGCTGAGAGGAAACATTAACCGTCCGTTGATCGAGGGAGAAGCGGAATGTCCATGCTGGTGGGATGGAAAGAATGGCACGGATGAGTACGAGTCTTGTATCAGGCGGAAACGCCATGGTAGCTGATCTGCATGGGTCAGGAAGAGGGTTCTGTCACAGATGACCCCAGGGAAAAAGAGGGTGCTCCAGTCTGGTGTCTGAACGAGCGAGGCACGAGACGTAGGTAGGTACCCTTGGTACCTACCTAGGAAGAGGTACTCGGTCACGTCAGTGTGGGTGGTGGCTTGACCTGAGAACCTGGGGCTCACATCCACCACCCAATGCAGGCGAGGACCGAATTTGCGAGAAATCCCCAGAAGAATGTGATGAGTCTGCAAAGAGAGTCCGTTGTCTGGAGAAGGGGTGGCGAGAAACACTGTCGGGGACAAAAATGTCATGAGACGGGCTATTACACAGGGCTGAAAAATGCGGCATGTTTTTCTTCAGGCGCAACTTGCCGTCAGAAAGACGTGTTTTCCCCGTCTCGCCCCATGTCCAGAAAAAGAAAAGGGAGGGAGGGAAAGGATGGGAATCGAGTCGTCAGGCCCCGGAAATCCCACCCACACCCCTCCTGAAAGCCGCTGTTGCCTCCCGAAAAGGTGGACTTCAGTCCCCAAATAATCGAATTTTTCGCACCTGCCATTGGGCAGAGGGGAGGCCTAAAACGTTCAGTGATGTACCTAGGTAGCTTAGGTTGTAACTTGCAACGGGAGGGTGGTAGCATAGTGACAAACTTGAGCGCCCGTGGAAAACCTGCCTCCTTCTTGGCTTGGAGTTGGGAAAACTCAGCAAGGGGCGCCCGCCCCGAAAAGGTACCGCTCCCACAGGGCGTGGCCGCTGCCATCCGAATGTACCGCGCTAAACTCTAGACGGCAACCAGTACGGATTAGACCGCCTGCAACACCACCGCAAACCCTTTTTATTTTTTTCCCAGCAGCCTTTTGGCTTTCTCGCCTTCTCCTACTTAAATTTTCTCTACCCTCTACCACAAATCTCCCTCCTCCTCTCTCGTCCAAAGGATTTACTCCTTCATCCTCTCCAAAAAAGAAACCACGCCTTTCTTTCCCATAGTGCGGTCTTTTCCTTTCCTTTTGAAGATCTGTTTTTTTCTTCACGAGGATACGAGACCCGTCATTTGTTTCTTTTCTCGTTCGTATCTCACGTCTCGAGGAAGGACACCTGCCTAATCGTCACACACGACACAAAATCGCTGGAGACCAGGAAGTTGACCTTCTGTCTTTCTGTTCTCGCCCTGCATCTGCATCCCTTCGGAATACCGAATTTCGACCACTCTCATTTTTGAACAGCACAAAAAGTTCTGCTTGAGAGTAATCTGAACTGCCTTCGCCTAATCACGACTGCACATTCTTCCACCTCGAACATATCCCCAACCAGTCAATACTTGGACTCTGTTCGACCTGATCCCACCTTGCAATCATGGCTGATCAACTCAACATGGGCGGTCTCAACCTTGGCCCTGACGCTCAGGGCGTCCCTGGCGGCAACCGCTCCTACATCCCCCCGCACATGCGCGGCAAGGTCACCGCCATGAACGGCGCTGCTAATGGCGGCCCGCCTGGCCCTGCTCCTGTCGGCCCCCCTGCTGGCGCCCCGATGAACGGCGGCCTCAACCAATCTGCTTGGGCTGGGTAAGTTTCAGGACTGATTCAATTTTTCTTGACCAGTTTTTCACCTTTACTAACACGCTTTCTTCTATCAGAAACCAGAACTTTGACGCTCGCCAACAGGAGGGCTGGGCTGGTCCTCCTCCCCGACAGAACAACTGGAACGGCGGCGGCCCTCCCCAGGGACGCAGCTTCAATCCCAACGCCTACGGCAACCCCGGCGCTGGCGGCAACGCTGGCGGCCGTGGTGGAGGTGGATACGGTGGCCATGCTAGAGGCTCTGGCGACGGAGAGTGGCGCGATGGAAAGCACATTCCTGGTCCTGCCAACCCCCGTCTTGAGCGTGAGCTCTTCGGTACTGCCGACGACCCGTCCAAGCAGCACACCGGCATCAACTTCGAGAAGTACGACGACATTCCCGTCGAGGCTTCCGGTCACGATGTCCCTGAGCCCGTTCTCACCTTTACCACCCCTCCCCTCGAGGAGCACCTGATCAAGAACATCGAGCTTGCCCGCTACAAGATCCCCACCCCCGTCCAGAAGTACTCCATCCCCATCGTCATGGGTGGTCGTGACCTGATGGCTTGCGCCCAGACTGGTTCCGGCAAGACTGGTGGTTTCCTCTTCCCCATCCTGTCCCAGTCCTTCATCAACGGTCCCTCCGCCGTTCCTGCTGGAACCGGCGGTGGTTACGGACGTCAGCGCAAGGCCTACCCCACCTCGCTGATCCTGGCTCCCACTCGTGAGCTGGTCTCTCAGATCTACGATGAGTCCCGCAAGTTCGCCTACCGCTCTTGGGTCCGTCCCTGCGTCGTCTACGGTGGTGCTGATATCGGCTCCCAGCTTCGCCAGATTGAGCGTGGCTGCGATCTTCTCGTTGCCACCCCCGGCCGTCTTGTCGACCTCATAGAGCGTGGTCGCATCTCGCTGTGCAACATCAAGTACCTCGTCCTCGATGAGGCTGATCGCATGCTGGACATGGGTTTCGAGCCCCAGATCCGCCGCATTGTTGAGGGCGAGGACATGCCCAACGTCAACAACCGCCAGACGCTCATGTTCTCCGCTACCTTCCCCCGCGACATCCAGATGCTTGCTCGCGACTTCCTCAAGGACTACGTCTTCCTGTCTGTCGGTCGTGTCGGTTCCACTTCGGAGAACATCACCCAGAAGGTCGAGTACGTCGAGGACATCGACAAGCGCTCCGTCCTCCTCGACATTCTGCACACCCACGGTGGTGGTCTGACTCTGATCTTCGTCGAGACCAAGCGCATGGCCGACTCCCTGTCGGACTTCCTGATCAACCAGAACTTCCCCGCCACCTCGATTCACGGTGACCGCACCCAGCGTGAGCGTGAGCGTGCCCTGGAGATGTTCCGCAATGGCCGTTGCCCTATCCTGGTCGCCACTGCTGTTGCTGCTCGTGGTCTCGATATCCCCAACGTCACCCACGTCATCAACTATGATCTGCCCACCGACATCGACGACTACGTCCATCGTATTGGTCGTACTGGTCGTGCCGGAAACACTGGTATCTCGACCGCTTTCTTCAACCGTGGCAACCGTGGTGTCGTCCGCGATCTCATTGAGCTTCTCAAGGAGGCCAACCAGGAGGTTCCCGCCTTCCTCGAGACCATCGCCCGCGAGTCGTCCTTCGGCGGCGGCCGTGGCGGCCGCCCTGGAGGCGGTCGTGGCCGTGGCCAGGGTGCCAACCGCGATTACCGCAAGTATGGTGGCGGCGGCTTTGGTAGCTCGTCCGGCGGTGGCGGTGGCGGCAGCTTCGGCGGTCCTCAGGGCGGCGGTGGCGGCTTTAGCGGCGGCGGCTATGGTGGTCCCCCGAGCGGTGGCTACAGCGGTGGTGGCGGCGGTGGCGGCGGCTACAGCGGTGGCGGCGGCGGCGGCGGCTACGGCGGTGGTGGCTACGGCAACCCCGGCGGCCCTGGCAGCCAGTCCTGGTGGTAAAGCGGCTCACAAACGCCTCTTCATCCACAATCCGCATCTTTTCTCAACTTTTGTTTGTTCTGTTTAAACGTTTCTTCTACACATCTTTGCTTTTTTGGCACCATGACTTTACTCGCCTTCGGCTCCCTGATCTGGGTAGCACGTTAGGGCGGCGATCATGATCTCCAAAGACAATGCCTCTTTGATCGGAAAGGCAGGTTCCGGGTTGTGGGCATCTTCAAGGCACACGATAGAACCGCATTTTCTTGTTTCTGCTGCATTCCCTGGTTTCTTGATACCCATAGACCAAAGACTCGGGGATAGATCCACGACTGAGAACGTGGACAGAAAAGGTGCAGCAGATGCCTGATGCGCGCAGTCACGACTGAACGATCGAGGGGATCTACATTCACACAGAATGCCCTGGATCTGGTTTGGCGCATTACGACGGTCATGTTTTGCTGTTTTATCTGCGCGCCGACGGAAAAAGGCATTTTTTTCGCTCTTCGCATAGAACATTGGGGTCATCATGGCATCGCCGCAATTCTGTTTGGTTGCATTCATAGACAAAAAATGGGGGTTCTCGGTTCTCTGGGTCGAGATGGGTGATATTCCTCGACAACGTCTCCACGACTGGGGGAACATAGACGATAGACCGGTATTTAATCAATCGTCTGCGAATGCGAGGACGGCATCGGAAAACGGAACATTTGCAGAGACGACGAGCGCGCTTTTCTACGACCTACCCTCTTTTTTTCCTTTCCTCACAGGGGAAAGCATTTTCTTGCCCTCCTCTTCCTCTCCTCCCACGCGAGAGAGAAGAACGGAAGCCGGGCAAGATATTGGGGGTCAACTTGCATTGGAAGGCATGCTCTCTCGATTAATGGCATATTGAGAGATATCACTCGCAGAACGGAAAGAGAACTCGGCCCGGCAAACTTTGTTTTTTTTGCCAGCGGGCAGGAGAGTTTTTGCTGGTTTTCGCAGAGATTGGGTTCATCCGGGTGAAGGGCCAAGGCACATCAGTGCTATTGTTCTCCGTGGTTGATAACAAGTTTCAGAAGCGAGAAGTCCAAATAAAAAAAAAGTTACTTCTGCTTTCAAATGATGGGTTACCCTTGGTCTCGTCGTGTGCATGTGAATGTGAATGAATTCAATGTTGGGTGATTATGGTCCGATTTATGGTGACATCGATGTCCTCCTCATGGACAGGAAGGTCAGTTGCCTCAGTCATATCGGATGGGACATTGCTCCTGTTTCTTTGTTTCTTTGTTTTGCTTTCTTCCTTTATTTCCAACCTCTAACCTCTTGATTCATTAAGCTTTTTGTCCACCAGCATCTTTGTTATCATCATACAGGTCAAGATAGCTCGCCCGCAGCCTCATCTGCAGGTGCTCATCTGCCGTGAGGACCTTCCTCTCGGCGTAGGGGTTACTCTCTCCCTCTTCCCCTCCAGCGCCACCGCCGCCGCTCTCGCTCTGTTGCGCGGCGGCGAAGGCCCGCACCCTCTCGCTGGGGACGGGCTCGAGCGGGAACGTGCCGACGGGGTGGCAGAAGAAGGCGATCGAGTACCGCGGCTCCTCCCCCGCCTTCTCCTGCTGGTCCGGTCCTCCGCCGGGCCTGGGGAAGACGACGCGGTGGAGGGTGCTGCGCAGGAGCCCGCCGGTCCAGTAGGACAGCAGGTCGCCGATGTTGACGAGCACGGGCGGGGAAGGGTCGGATTCCGTCCCGGCGGGGACGACGGGGACGGGGGCCCAGGCGCGGGCGCCGTCCGTGGGGAGGATCTGCTGGACCTCGAGGCCCGGCTGGCCCGCGAGGCGGAAGAGCAGGGTCAGGGAGCCGTAGTCCGAGTGGGCGCCGGCGCGGACGTCGGCGGCCGACGCCGGCGCGGCCTGTTTGTTGCTGCTGCTGGGGGTGGTGGCGTCTTGCGCGGCGGCGGCGAGGGCGGAGAGGGGCGGGTAGCGCAGGAGGCGGAGGATGGTGCCCGAGGGGCCCCTTGAGGGGAGGTGGGCTTGCTGGAAGAAGGTTGGGGGGTCGACCTGAGGGAGGGGAGGAGGAGGTTGTCAGTCAACTGGTTCATGATTGCTATTTGCGGAAGGGGTTGGAAGGGGGAGGGGGTAGACGGACGCCGAGGCCGATGCCCAGGAGGGAGTTGAGCTTGAGGCTCAGCCGGTGGCAGTAGGCGAAGAACTCGGCGATCTGGGGCTCATCGCTGGCGATGGTGGGCGGCAGAGGCTGCTGGGCTTTGCCATTGACGAATTCGCCAAAGTTGAAGGCCCTGGGTGTGGGTTTCCTTTAGTTGATGTCTGTCTGCACATGGCCCTAGGGGGATGTAGCCTTACTCCTTGAGATCACCAATCTGAAAAGCTCATGTTAGTGGGAATTATGTTTGGTAATATGAGCAAGGCTTCATGTCACTTACCCTCTGATTCTTGGGGTCGAGCGTCTCGACATGCATGCCAGAGTAGCCCCTGTTGTTCTTTTGGATGTTGCAGCTCTGCTTCTCCTCCAGGGGTGCCTTGAACAGCTTTCTGGCCTTTCATGCATGTGTTAGTCAGTCCTTAGTGGGTGCTGTGAGTTGATTATATCTTGCTCACGAGTGCAAAGGCGTCGTCTATGGCTTGGGCAGGGATGTCCTTGCCGGTACTTCTGATGTAGACAAAGCCATGCCGGACAGCGGCATCGACGAGCTCTCGGGCTACCTGCTCCTGATCGCCGTCCCCAGAAATGTCGATGACTGGGATAGCAGCATCCTGGATGGCTTGGCCTGAAGTCTGCGTCGTCTCCATGCTGGCTGCCCCAGGGACGGTCGTCGTGTGAGCATATGAATCGGACATGTGAATATTTACGGTTGGACAGTGAGAGGAGGGAAGAGTCACCTTGTGAAAGCAAATTCTGGATATCGCGGACCCCGCAAGATAGTGTCCGCCAAGTCAGACTACTCGAGGTACTGTACGATTGATACCTTCACGGCACTGCGCAGCCTTGATATCCCTCAAGACTCCTGAGAAAGAACTACAGTGGGAAGCTTGAAAAGTGTGTGATGAATAGCGAGATGAAGATATCGCTCAGGCTGGTCCACCGGCTCACTACCTGAGTCACAGTTCAAGGGCTGTGAATGTCGTCTGTGAATGATCAGTCCCAGAGTGGAAGATAAAGACGTCGTTCACGAAGTACCCAGGTACCTCCAGGTAGGCCTTACCCAGTTAGGTAAGCACTGTACAGTACCTAGGTACACTACAAGTACTTGTAAGCTGGGGCTGCTAGAGTGGATTGACGCGCGTGGGAGACGCCCCGACGCACGCCGCTGTCCACCACGCTCCAGGCCTTGGGAGGCTCCAACCATCTCGTGTCCGCAAAAAGTGGCTACCAGCATCGGACCTAATCAGGCTCGTCCGTCAGGGTCACCCTCCAGCTTGGTCTGGCATTCACCACCCATTTCGTCTTCCGGCTGTAGCAATTTTGTCAGAAACTGCGCCCATTGCACACAACTCAACCTCCCCCCTCCCATCAACCCCCCGTCCTTGTTCAGTCTTCATCAATCCGTCCTGCCAAAACATGGTTTGATTCTCCCACTCATTCCTTTGTCCCCCAGCCGGTCGCATTTCGAGGGGCCGAATCGACAGATTCCCTGGCTCGCACCTCACAAAGAACCAGCAAATCCTCGCCTGCCAACCGACTCATCACCGATTGATCTCTGATCAACCTAGGCAACACTCGCCATGGCTGCGACACCGAGCTCCGCGGCGGCTTTATCACCCCCAAGCTCCCCAGTCGCCCCCGACAAGTCTTTTATGACCAACGTCACCGAAGATGAGGACACCAAGATGATGGACGCGACCCCGGAGCCTTCAGAGAAGCAGCCACGCGGTCGCGGCAAGGGCGCACGCGAATCCCTCGCCCAGGGGTCTATGATAGGAAAGATCAGGCATCTGAAGAAAGAAGATGGCGAGCCCCTCTGGCGGAAGGACATACAGTACGATTTTCTCAAGGCCGTCTTCGACAACGAGGAGAAAGTCTTCACCAACAGCTACGATGACACCATGGAGAAGCAGTGCTTCGCTGATCTCTACATCGACACCATGTCCAGGAGCAGCAAGACCAGCAAAGTCCTGCGCGACAAGCTGCTTAGCGATCGCGATGCCGCCAAGGGCATGGCCATGGTCTGCTTGCTGGTCAACATTGGCCGCATGAACACTACTCTCAACTGTGAGCCTACCCGCCCTCAGACCAACTGTTCCTTTCCCTTTCCCTTTCCCTTTCCCTCTAGACTCAGGCTAACGTACCTCTCCAAGTCTTCCCCGAAATGCGAGCGCAACTTCGAACCTATCATGCCATTCCTTCCCTCCAAGCTCACCAAGATGCCCATGCCTACAAACAGCTTCAGGACGCCCCGCGACTCAAGTCTATTCTCAAGGGTGGAGCTGAAGACCGATCCGAGCCCAATTCCCTCGACAAGATCAAATCTCTCAACGTTCCGAGGACCAACCCGGTCAATATGCTCTTTGTAATTTGCCAAGCTGCCGCTAAGATCGCCGAGCTGCATTTCCCTCCCGGTCGCGAGTTCCACGACCTCATCATGAAGACCAACTTTACCAGCAAGTCTCGGGCTGCCGCCTTTCTCTGGGTCATGTGGTTCTATCTCGAGTCAGACTTCACCGAAGAGGGTTGCGAAGAGAATCCGTTTGGCCCCGGCGTCGACTACGGCGTGGATGTTGCCAACCAAGGCGTACCCGAGCTGATCGAGATGGACCCTGCGGAGGAAGCCGAGGAGAACGTCGACCCTGAGGAAGAGGTGGCTTTTGGCTACGAGAAGCAGAAGATGCGCGCAAAGATCATTGCGGCCGATCAGCAGTACGTGAGCGAAAGCCAGCCTAAGAGGGGTTCCCGCGCCCCTCGGTCTTCTGCCGTCGGCGAGGACGGCCCCGGGTCTGCCATTCTACCGCGTATTCGCCCTTCGAAGCACGAGAGCGATATCGACAGCAGCCGCTCGACGCCGCCCCCACGCGCCCTGGCTAGAACGCTGGGCGGTGGCTCCAGCCGGAGGAGCGGGCCGCTCAAATACCATCACATGTTTGACGGTTCGTCGCCCGGCGGCCCGACGCCGTCCGGTAGCGTTCCCAGCCGCAAGCCAAGGCCGCCTACGGCGCATCAGATCGCCGTGGAGGAGAACAGAAACCAGCGGGTCGAGTACATTCTCGACAGGGGCGTCCGCAAGAAGCACCACCAAGCTCGAAAGTCGCGTCGCGCCGAGGGCGCCATCATCCGGGCCTACAACCGGCTCCAGGAGATGCAAGACCCCTTCGAGGACAGCGAGGGCGAGGACAGCATCCTCTGGAACAACACGCGCCTGCTCATGGGCATAGGGGCCCCGCGCGCCAACGAGACGGGCGGCCCGTTCCGCGACCGCGGCCACGGCGGGCTCTGCCTCCTCGTGACCGAGGAGGACGACTTTGGCGAGGAGGTCAGCACCTACGCCGCCTCGATCCGGCGCCTCAGCCGCCGGCTCAAGCGCTGGGACGGGTCCGACCTGGGCGTCGTCCCGCCCGTCAAGCGGCCGCGGCCCCCGCGCCCGGCCAAGGACCCCAACGAGACCGAGGAGGAGGACATGATGGACCTGGAGGCGTCGCAGGTCGAGGTCCCCCAGCCCAAGACGAAGCGGCCGTGGGGCGGCGCCCGCGCCAACAGTGGAGGGGGCGGCCGGCACGGGCGCAGCTTCAAGAAGAACAAGAGGGCCGCGGTCGTCGAGGCGACCTCGGCCGCGGCAGCAGCAGCCGCGGCGGCGGCAGAGGACGAGGCGGAGATCCTCGACGACGTGGACAAGGAGCTGCTCGGCATGGCGAGCGACCGGGAGGGCGAGAAGGACGGCGAGGACGAGGACGGTGACGACCTGGACGACGTGGACAAGACGCTGCTTGGCATGGGGGATGGGTCTGATACGGAGTGATATGCTCGTTGCTCGCGGTCCTGAAAACACGTGTGGTGTGTGATGCACATTCGGCGGCATAGACTATACGGGGGGGGGGGGGCGGGAGGAGGAGCTGCACTGAAATCGGGTCTGTTGTATGGGATACTGGTAAGACTAGAACTGCGATGGTTTTCTCTATGATCGCGATGGCGTTTTTTTTCGATGGACGGACTTGGGTTGGGGGGGGATTTGATTCTGCTAAAGGGTATTTTCAAGCGGTGCTTTTCGAAAACGGAGGAAATCGTTTGTCTGTTGTCCCTTGTATTATAATAGATTCGGGGATCCAAACAGCGCAGATCTACACGAGTTAGACGTGCTAGATTCTCTATAAGAATTCCAATTACTTGTTTCCTAACCAGACGGCTCCTCACTCCTCCCTCCCGTTCTATGTCGACTCGTAGTAATACTGAATGCCATATTGGGGGGACTGGCAGTTTACTAATGGAAAGGCTTGTACGAAGATGGCTCTGGTTGGACTCAAGATGGGGAAATCTCGGAGAGTCGAGTGCTTCCCAGGCACAGATCAACACACCCCTGAACTCGTCGGAGTCGTGGCCACCGTCGTGAGTGGGTTCAATGTTGCTAACCACCGATAACACCGTGTCAGCACGAGTGTGTCCAATCCAGCGCGGTCGGTAGACAGAGTATCCTGGGGGGGGGG